ACGTCCGCTAAATGAGGCCTTTCTAAGGGTAAAATGACGTCCGGTAAAGTATGTTAGGGTAAAATGACGTCCGATGAAGTATCTTATGGTAAAATGACGTTCGGTAAAATATCTTAGGGTAAAATGACATCCGGTAAAGTATTTAGGGTAAAATGACGTCCGCTAATTTATCTTAGGGTAATATGAACTCCGGTAAAGTATCTTAGGGTAAAATGACGACCGGTAAAGTATCTTAGGGTAAAATGACGTCCGCTAAAGTATTGTAGGGGCAAAATGACGACCGGTAAAGTATCTTAGGGTAAAATGAACTCCGGTAAAGTATCTTTAGGGTAAAATGACGTCCGCTAATGTATTGTAGGGGGAAAAGGACGTCCGACGAAATGTTTTAGGTCAAGAAAGCATATTTAACAATGGCTTAGGGTCAGGTAAGAATGAATTTACAATTGTCGTCTAACAAATAAAAAATCTTGCCAATTTCAGTTAAAAGATACATAGTTTCCATTCAAATTTATGTAAGCGAAATCACATTCTGATAACGGCACTGAAAACTTTAAAAGCCATTTACTTCATCTTTATATTGAAGGAAAGAAGTACCCTAAACTCGTGTCTGTACCCGGACCCTAAATCTATATATTTTCTGATTACGGGTTGAGGTGGCACTGTATGACACTGTGTTGTTCCGTACAAGTCTGCCGGGTTCCTGACTGACAGGGAAATATATTCTGTCCAGTTCGCGCATGTCAATCACAATCCTTACGAATCCGAAGGAATTTCATCATATCGTATGCCAAGCTTTGTCACAGCTACTTTACGGTAAACGACTGACACAGTATGTAAACGTTGTTCCTTTGTAAACAGGCTTAGATCTGACCGATAAATATAGCAAGCCATGGAGGGAGCGGCGGTACACTGCCCTCTAACGGGACGTCCTGTACTGGCATGGGACAATCGGGAACCATCGGCACTTTCCGTAAACGAGAAACATTTCAAGCCGCAATCAAAATGTCAGTGTAACACGGTATTAGATTGCTATCTAAGTCCGTGGTTGTAAGCGTCTAAAACGGTGTTTGGCTTGAAAACTCTGCGGAATTCTTAGAAATCAGCGTCAAAAGAGAATGTTTTAGTAATGTAATTGCAGAACCAAGTGATTTGGCTTGAACACAGGATCTGAGTTTGAGCATGAGAACGGTTTCACGAATACTTTGAAACTCTGAAATGGCGTCTTTTTGGAGGAAACGGAGTTCTTGTCCGCGGACGGAGAATACATTTTACGTGCATATATTTTTTTTTAAAAGAAACATTATCCATCTTTCCAACTGTACTAAGCATTTTCCCGTAGTTCAACTAGAAATGTTGTTTTGATGCAAGAATTTAGGTGGGGTCGACATTTCGACATCGAGAGCTTTCCTCCCTTCTCCTATATATATATGATCATTGGGGGTGTCATTTTTACCGAAAGCCGATCTAAAACACTAAAACATGTAAAATTACTCTGGAACACATTAGTTTAGGTCCAAATATAGCTTATAATCACTGTTTAACGACATTTTTCAACCTTTAATAATTTCATCAAAATACAAGGTAAAAGGTCATAATTTTACACGTAAATTTACTCTACTAAATATTTGATATCTGGAAAGTTTTAACTCAGTCAATAGGTGTGTTTCAAAGGTACACATACATTGAAATTTGTGCTAATCACTGATTAAGCTAATTGCCCTTTGAACATCTGGGCCCTGTGGCCAAGATCATCATATTATACCAAATCCCAATAATTATATATCCAAGAAGAGAGACAATAGGAAAAGGGCATAGAGAACAGATACCCTCAATAAACACCCAATCAACTGTGCGCACAGCCAGAATATTGGTGAATTAAAATATGGGTAAATAATTGAATTTTTGATGAAATTATTGCTCAGACTGGGTCTGCTAAATATCACCCCAAGTTGTATTTCATCTTTAAAGTTCAGAACATTATCGTTATGTTCATTGAATTTTTGATGAAATTATTGCTCAGACTGGGTCTGCTAAATATCAACCCAAGTTGTATTCATCTTTAAAGTTCAGAAAATTATCGTTATGTTCAGTAAGTAGTTGGCCTTTGTAATTATTTGTAGTAATATACAAAATTTGATATAGCGCCCTATCTAGTTAGAATGAGCCACTCACTCTAAAGGCCTTTTACGGTACATATAGATAGATATACAATCAATACAATTAGCATATATATATATATAGAATAAAAACAAATTTTTCAGATCGTCCGCTAGGCCTTTCTGCCTTCTAGGGCTTCTTCAGGCGGATTGATCTAAATATATATATATGTGTGTGTGTCTTGAAAAAGGAGCGGATCGCTCCGAAAATTTGACAACCTAAACTTGTCCACACTGTTGGAATTACTTCTTTGGCCCATATATATATATATATATATATATATATACATTAATTTGATTTCTTATATTTATCAATGATATAGAAGATATTTTTGAACCAACGTCTCGTCTTTTTGCAGACGATACATCATTACTTAAGTCATCTTCATCTTGTTTAGAAATTCAAGAAACTTTAAATAGTGACCTAGAGATCTTAAATACTTGGTCAAAAACCTGGTTGGTTAATTTTAATCCTGAAAAAACAGATGTATTGTTTATTTCGAATTGAATCGATATCGAAGAAAACTTAGATTTAGAATTTGATGGGAAAGTCTTAAATTTTACAGATTGTCATAAACATTTAGGGGTAACTTTTAATTTGAATGCAAAGTGGGGGGATCATGTAAATGGAATTTACACTTCTGTTATGAAAAAAATAATGTCTTACGGAAACTGCAACACTTATTAAGCAGGGATGCTCTTTTAATAATTTACAAGACTTGTATTTTACCTGTTTTAGAATTTGCTTGTGAGTTGTGGGACGGTTGCACTATTTTGAATCGGAAAAGTTAGAAAAAGTCCAACGTGAAGCTGTTCGCATTATATTAGGACTTCCTTCATATACCCCTATTAATACTTTATATTACGAAACTAGTCTTGAACCTTTATCTCATCGCTGAAAATGGAGGAAACTTCAACTATTGTATAAGATGCTTAATATAATAACTCCTGATTACTTCAATCATTTTTTGCCGCCTTTATCTGGAGAAAATAATCGTTTGGCTTTACGTAACAATAATAACTATAGGATTCCTCCTTTCAGATTATCTCTTACTAACTATCTGTTCTACCTTCTACTCTTCACTATTGGAATAACTCAGAAAATTCGGTTCGATCCCTACCCTCTATTAATTCGTTCAAATCCTGTTTAACATCAAGTATTCAGTCAAGCCCACCTGTTTACTTTAAAATCGGAAATCGTAAACTTAATATTTTGCATGCTAAGCTCCGACACCAGTGCAGTTCCCTTAATTATGACCCTTTTAGAGTTAACCTTGTTGAGAGTGTATCTTGTAATTGTGGTCATCCTTGTGAGAATGTTTTTTACTATTTTTATTAATTCAAGCAAGAGATTTTGAGTTCAACTTGTAACAACAATTGTATATGTTAATTGTCATTATTGTAAAGTTATTTAAAATGTATATTGGGAGAAGGCGTTGATAATTAAGTTGTAATCCCTTGTCTAATTTTGGCAATACATATGTTTAAACTAATTAATCAGAGACGTATATATACTACAAATCAATACAATTTTTGAGGAATTCGCAGGATCTGTCGCATCCTCGATATCAAGGGTTACGCTATCTTACGCTCTCTGCACCCCTGGAATATGTCATAGCAAAATTGAAGGCTCGGTGTGCGCCACCTTGTTGATGAGACAAGAAGACTAGTTCGATCCTTTGATGTACATCAAAAGAATCTCGCGGTCATGTAACGGTAAAAATTGACAGGCTTTGAAGTTGGGCGTCTCTCCTTTGTAGTCTTCAAAGGACAAGTATCAGCCTAGCGATTGGTCAGTTTTTGTTACCCGAGACCAGTCATGCCATGCCATATTCCAGGGATGCAGAGAGCGAAAGTGAGCGTTTACCCGGCCTGGATATCGAGGATGGATCTGTCGTATAAGGCGCTAACTACTAGTCCTATGCCACCTGGCTAATATCTCCCTATGTGTGTATGCCTGCGTGTGTGCTGGAGATGTGTTGTGTTCTGTTTGTTAGTGGGACCGTGCTTTGGTTGGTTGGTTGGTTGGTTACGGGTTTTTCGTCTTCCTTCACTGACGAAGTCGGTGTTCGGAGGTCGGACGGTTCCCTGCGGTCCACGGATCGACGTCCCGGCTTAGTGTAGCCCTCGCTGTCCTATATGGGACCGTGCTTCCAATGGTATCATTTATATTGTCATCTCACTTGAATGCTACAGCACAGATACCGCAACATCCAGCCTAGACCATTTTATACTCCACCTAGATTGTTGGGAGTTGTGAAGCATTGACAGGGAAAGAAACATCACCAGTCTTTAAGAAAACTACGGTGGAATTCTACTGAGTTTTGTCTGTAGTGAGAAAAGGATCTTTAACGATTTTACCCCAGTTTTTTTTTATTTGTGGCAGTTCACAGCGTCTGATCACGTTATCAGGAGTATTACTTTTTTAAGAGAAAATCATGGAACATTTCATAATTCGAAGTTGTATGTTTTTGTTTTGAATTCAACTCACTTTGACCCTACGTCAGTCAACTCGTCGTTTCTTCAGTCAACTCGTCCCAAATTCAGTCAAATCCTCCGAACTAGTTACCCTGCCTCATTTTGGTCAACTCGTCCCTTCATCAGTCAACTCCTCCCGACTATTCAACTCATCCCTACACCAGTAAATTTGTATTGTCTAATAAATTCGCTGATTTTCGGTCAACTCGTCCCGACTTGCTGACTCGTCAACTCGTCCCAGCTTGTGTAAACTGCTCATCTCTTCAGTCAACTCGAATGATTTCATCCCTGCTTTGGGGTTTATTGGTCCATTAACATAAATAACTAGGTAAATAACAACACTGACATCACATAATTAATCATATTTTTAATTTTATCATCATTTAAATATATAAATACATGTAGATACAAGTGTTTTAACAAAGCACTGTAAAACCTTAAGGTCCGTCTAACCAACCACCATTGGGAAGGAAATCTTCTTTCCTGCTCATAAAACTTTGGATGACAGACAATGACAAAAGTCTAATTACACTGCAGAATTTTACATTATTGTGCAGGGTCTAAATGAAATCCAGTTTAAACACAATTGCCAACACCGGTGTCAGTGTCTTGATGACAGATGACATTTTTTTTATACTGCCAACACAGACAACCTTGGCGTAGTATCTCTGCTGGTCATATCAATGTTCCTATATGGCAGATATCACAATTCTATATCACATGGTAGCACTAATAGTTGTTCCTGTTAGGTCCTGTCATCTCCCCGAGTCTTCATTTCCATTTCTTGTTGTGGTTGCTAGCTTTTCATCGATCATCCTAAAACAAGACAAGTAGCCATTCACAAACTCAGTTTTCATAGCCGATCGGTCTATGATGTGTCATCTGAAGGTAAACATGGCCTGTTATCCAATGAACTCGCCCGTGTAATATTTTTTTTACATATGTCACTAGTGTAATATACCCTGGAGCGTTTTTCATTGGCTGTGCCAGTCAGAACTCGATTGTGACCTCATAATATGGACAATGACATGACGTCGTAAATGAATGGCGCAACAAAATGGTTGTCTCCGTTTGATTAAGCCCTCTACATTTTGGCTTTAAAACCTGTCAAAATGTAAATTTTCTGAGTTATGTGATAAAAAGTATCTTAAATTTGTTTTCATTTCATATGAGCTTTTATTAAACTTGTCTCGAAGTTTTAATTTTTGCTCGCCAAGGCTCGCAAAAATATTAACTCCCAAGACTCGTTTCATAAAATCTCATATGAAATGAAAACTCATTTAAGATCCTATATATATCTCTGAACATTTCAGCCACATGTATATGATTGCCACTTTCTGATAGTATAGTTATATTTCTTTTTACAAATTTTCATAAAAAAATATTTGCTTTCAAACTTTAAAAGTTCAATGGATTGATCAGTTTTGATTTTTATACAAATCTGACATGGACCTAACTTAGGATGTGGGGTTTACAATAAGATTTAAACTACATACTGTAGCACCTGTGTACATCTAACACATCTGATGCTGTGAAGTCATTGCCTACACATAATACAGTGTATACAGGGATTAATGCAGGAATAGAAAGTTTGTACCCTTTTTTAAGATAGGGGAAAGTATGCGCTGCATGTGCATGACCTATCCAGCGAAGGCTGCAGGCCTGAGCCAGGGGGAGAGTACGAGACGGAGGCACAGATTACATCTTTTAATTTTTGATTCTCGCTGTTCATTGTAGATGCTTCGAATGGACCTCCGGATATGCATTAGAATAAAGCGTTTGTGTGACTGTTATGATATTGTAAACTGTACACAGGGCTATAGCTAGCTGTAAACATTTTTGTAAAATATCAGTAGTTACAATTAATATGAACACAGGGAAAATAAAATAAATTACTCAGTCGTGGAACCGACGGAAAATAAAAACAAAATGGAACCAAGACAGATATTCATGTGGTAGTATTTAAGTTATGTGTGGGAATTTATTTTAACTGAAATAGGGGGAAATAAAGCTGAAATTGGAGAGGGGATTTGGCCCATAGATCCATGGTATACCTACCGAAGTTGTTCCTCATATTGTGCCCTTTGGCGTCGTAACATGGTCAGCAACTGGTCATCTGGGAATTCACCATCGGACTCTTCTTCTGCAGAGAACAGATAAAATATGTACTTAGAATTTATTGAGTATAATTTATTATTATAATTTATTATTTTTCTATATAATATATACACATTATTACCAGTCCATGGTTGTAACAAATTTTTCTGACTTGTGGTCAAGTACATTTTCATAGGTGGATCAAAGGACTTGGGGCATTATGGGTAATTTTCGGCCTCATAAAATTGGGGCTATCTTTCTTGGCGTAGATGTTTTTCTTTGTGCATGCGTAAATGCCACACCATAGCTAAATTAAGGGGAGGTCACTGTAGGTACAAAAACTACACCAGACTTTTATCATGTTTTGCCAGTAGTTGGACAAGGATCCTCAATACATGTCCGAAAGCCCATAATGTATCGACATTCTTACAACTTTAGATTCCCCTGAACTTTTCCATATGAACTAAACCCAATGTCTAAACCAGTCCGATACAGACAGAAACAATCGGAGTATAATAATCAATGTTATACCTTCTTTTTGGCCGACACATGGGTTTGGCCCAGAACTTATAAAAACATAAATTAAACCCAAGGTCTAAACCAGAACGATTCAGACAGAAAAAATCGGGAGTATAATAATCTGTTATACCTTCTTCTTGGCTGACACGTCGGCGTGGCCGAGGCTCAGTGTGGTGTGGGACAGACTCCCGGGACTGTGAAATCCGGCCCTGCGGTGGCTGGGACAGAGATTCGGACAAGGTATGGTCCAGTGATGCTGACGGCGACACAAATGTGGGCAGGCTGTCGACACTTGATATGACAGAGCTAGTTGACAGATCAAAAAGTCGATCCTTGATCACCTATAGACGTACAATATAAACACAATTGAAAGAACCTCTTCAGTATCACAAAATATAGAAGTGAAAAGTTGACTCAAATAATTGAGTATGAATTGAAATAACTTCACAACACCATTACACATTTTCCATTTTTTTTTTTGCTGGAGAAAAAAGTTCCTTTAATTTTGTCAAGCAAAGAGTAAATTATTGTTTGAGTTGGCATATATTATTCACACAAAACTGACAAATCCCATTCAAAATTTTCATATGAAACTTGCTAAATTTACAAATGTACTGTGTACACCGTGAAATTAGCTGCAGTTAAATTTTTCGCCTTTTTTGCCCTCCATAAAGAGGACGAATTCATTATGAGAGCGAATATAAGTTGACAGCATATACCATATATAGTTATTGCATGCAAATGGCGAAATTTCCGAACATGGTTTCTACCGGTGAAGGGCGACTTTTTGACTGGGCCAAGGTTTCACGATATACAGTATTTTAGTACTTTAACCCATTGCTTTATTTATACACATACAATGCATACTTTTTTTTGGGTGTTCCATGTTAAGCAAAGAAACGAAAAATATATGTAATGCATTTTTGTTTCCTTTATTTTAACCTTCGTAAAAAAAACCACACTAAAACTAGAGAACATTTGGTAAGATCCCAATATCTATATGATGGGTATTCCGTTCTTCGTATTGCAGAGTTATCTTCGCTTGTGAGCAGGTACTGATTGTTATGTCATTTGTTTGTGAGTGTAATGTCATCAATTTTTGAGAAAACGACGTAATTTGCTCACACAAACCAATGACGTAACAATCAATACCTGCTCACAAGAGGAGATAACTCTGCAATACGCAAAGATGGAATAGTCAGTCATACAGTGGCTAGCAAACTTGCTTTTCACCAAGACATCTGGGATTTGATTCCCCCCTAAGCTAAGGTAAATATATGGGACACCTTTCTGTTCCCCTGTACTTCAAATTTCTCCTACAAAAAGCCCCCCTGTGCATTTTTATCAGGGTCGACAAGAGTGACTTTAATAGGGAGTTTATAATTTATGATATATGGGATTAGATCAACTTACCTGTCGACAAGAGTGACTTTAATAGGGAGTTTATACTTTATGATATATGGGATTAGATCAACTTACCTGTCCTATTGCTGACTGTACATGTGGGACTTTTTTCACTCCTGCCCGGGGCCCGGGGCTCTGTGACTGTCGGGGCACAGGAACCCTCACTGCCTCCTTTCTCTCCTTTCTTCCTTCCCGCTGTGATTCCTCTTCCATCTCTCTATACCCCTTTCTTTCTCCTCTTCTATCCTTCCTTCCTTCCTGCTGTGATTCCTCCTCCATCTCTCTATACCCCTTTCTTTCTCCTTTTCTCTCCTTCCTTCCTTCCCGCTGTGATTCCTCCTCCATCTCTCTATCCACCTTTCTTTCTCCTCTTCTCTCCTTCCTTTGGTGATGTTGTACATTGTCTCTACTCGACGATAACTCCTCCTCGTTTTCCTGTCTAGGTGTGCGTTTATTCTGTTGTTGTGACACTTTGACAAAACCTGGTACTGAATCACTGTCACTTTTTGAACCGATTTCTTCTCTGGGTGTTCTGACATTATTTTTGGAACCCTTCTTTTGAACATTTTCGAAACCTCCATAATCATCTTCCTGATCATAGTTTATCCTCCGTTTCACCTCTGTGACCTGACCTCTGACCCCCGAGTCTGTGTGACCTGAATCATCATCACTTGGGTCATGCTCCTGATCACAAATAGACTTTTCAATGTCTGGTCGTTCGGCCTCCAGATATTTATAAGTTTCACTTTCCGACTCGTTCACATTTTCCGAGGAGTCAACATTTACTGGCACTTTTCCGTATTGTTTGGAGAACTCTGATTGGTGGGGACAGGGTAGTAAGTCACACATCAGGTGAAGATGAGGCTCCACATCTTCGTCTCTTTTGCCCTTCCTTTTGAGGGTGGGGCTTGCGATGGAGGGATACCTCCCTGACACGTAGGGGTCATCTTTGACAGCACCTTGGTCCGTTTTCCCTTGGGAGCCTCTAGATGTACCTGTGTCTTCCTGAAAGAGGTAGAATCAACATGAAACTCACATACCGGGTGCATTGAATCTTTAGTATGCAAATAAACCTGCCTTTAACAACAACAACAACAACAACAACAACAAATAGTTCATATATCTATGGAGTTGGACTTGATGAAGTTACCCATTGTTGTCTGCTTCATTTGCATATAAAACTGACCAATTCGCATTCGATCCCTGTCTATATGAATTAATGTCTTAATTTTCACAGCTAATATAAGACAGTCTGAAAGGAGCTCTTCAGTCTACTTAAATTAAACACCCTTAAATCAATCACATGCCAATAGTATGTATCTCGTAAAGAAAAATATGAATTTGATAATGGCATGACCTGAAGCTTAATTAAGTCCCGTGTGATCTGATTCATCTTCCACTTGCCGGTAATAAATACATTTATCACATAATGTACTGTGTTATCCAGTGAATATACCCCCGGTAATAAATACTTTTACACATAATGTACTGTGTAATAATCCAGCAAATATACCCATGTCATATGTTTTTGTGTATTAACCCATGTAATATGACCTATCGGCCCTGTGATTTGTTGTATGTTTTAATTGTTTCAATTGTGACATCACGCCTAGGACAAGTACATGACGTCACAGACTTACGCACTGGAGTCAAAATGACGGCTTTTTACAAATTTGCATCAAGAATAACCCATAACATCAACTATTAAACAGAATTCCCTACGTTAGATGAGGCAGTGTGTCAGTCTACCTGTCTTTACCAACATGAATACAATCAATTTACAATAAAACTAAAACAATTATTAGCTGGATCAAGCTGAAGAAATCTCAAAATAATGTTTGTTCAGTCGCTATATATATAGCAATGCATTGTCCATAGGCAAAGTCTGAACTGCATACCAGGAAATTTTCAATGTATTTTAACTTTCGCCTTTTTCACCCCCTTCATATATGATGAGGGCAAATTTATCATAACAGCGAACAATTGTAAACAACATAATAAACATAGTTATTAACTGTGAAGGAAAAATTAAATATTTTTAATAATTGATTTTACCGTTGAAGGGCGAAAAATTTGACAGGGCAAAAAATTTGACTGGGCAAAAATTTGACTGGGCAAAAATTTCCCTGTATACAGTATATGTTTCCCTCACCTTTCCATCCGCTGGTCGAGACATGTGTGGAGCTGGGGTAAAGCTGACTAGTCCATTGGACATCTGAGGGGTTACAGGTACTCCAAGTTTCCCCTCGGACAACCTCTGCTTAAACTCTTCCAACTTTTTTTCAACATCACCCTGTTAACACAAATACAATGTACAGTGAAATTTATCCGAATTCTGTCTGCTAATAAAATGTATCTAAAAAGTTGTGTACATTTTCAATACTGTATAACATAAAATGTTTGTCGTGTATAAACTTTCGTTGTGTTCGTGGTTGCTATGGAACTACGAATATAAATACAACTCGATAGATACACAACGAAAACGTGAAAATTATACGAACTTCACTTCAATCAAAAATGTGTACACAAAAGTATATACATACATTGTACGTGTATAATTATGATCATGTACTGTGTATGGTGGTATTGCTCACTTTCCCCCCCACAGATTTTGTGTACATTTAGTTGTATGTGCTAACCACAAAAATTAATACACTTCGTTGTACGGACTAACCACGAAAGTTTGTACCCACGAAATAATTTGAAAGCTCCAAACCACGAAAGAATGTACACATGAACTAACCATGAAAGTTTGTACCCACGAAATAATTTGAAACCTCCAAACCACGAAAGAAGGTACCCACAAACATTTCTCGCTCCCTCACTTATGAACTATAGCATTATCACAGATATCAAGGTCAAAGGTCAAGTTTACAAAAGGTCAAACAATATGCTGTACTCAGAGAGGAGCATGAGTATGTGAAGTTGAATGTCCCTAGCTAGCTGCAATACTGGAAGTCCATTGCTGGATTTAATGCAAAACTTAACCAAGGTCGATGTCTCAGAGGTCAAAGGTGAAGTTTGAGGTCACAATAATGCTGTGAAAAATGCTACACTTATCAACACAAACATATATATGTGAAGTTACTTGGCCTTAGCTGCAGTATTTGACTTAAATGCCAAAAATTGACCAAGGTCACAGCGAGGTCAAAGTTAAAGGTGAAGGTCACAAAAATGCTGTACACACGTGAGAAGTTCAATGACCTTAGATGCAGTATTTGGTCCACAACTGCATGACCTATCACCAAAAAACAACTGGTCGGATGTACTTAATGCCCGACTTTGTGGCGAGGCGTTTTAAAACAAGCATCCTTCATACTCTAAACCAGGAAATTTTTGCTGCAATTTAACTTTCGCATTTTTTAACCTCCGTAATGAGGGCAAATTAATCATTACAGCGAATATGAGTAAACAACATAATAAACATATTAATTTCATGGCGTAATTAAAACTGGGCGAATATGGGTTTTACAGGTGAAGGGCGAGAGTTTCACTGGGCGAAAAAAATTCCAAGTACAGTATTGCCAGCTCTAGTATATCTGTACAGCAGACCACGGCAGTTTTATTTATCGCCTTTCTACGCTCCGGAGCTACCTGTCAGTGAAATTAACACAGACTTTGTGGTCTTATATTGTTTCCTGGTGAACCTGGTTTTATAGAAATCCTTGTTATTGCATCCCCAAGGTCAACATAGTGTTTATACCTACCATTGGCTGTAATTTTGGCACAAAAGGACTCGGAGTTGGTACATCTTTTACGTTGGTAGTTCTCTCCCTTGCTTGCTCCATTTTACGTTTAATTCGCCACTGATACAAGATGTCTTCCTCCCGACATGTTGGCTTGGTGACCATGGAAATCGGTACTCCAAGGTTAAACCGTGGAACATTTTCTTTGCCTAGAATTGTAACATTGTACAGATTTTGTAATTGTTCCAATAATTTTTACACACAACATATTTCTCTATCAACACAGTTATCCTTTTATGGACCCGTTCCTTGTTACCCACAATAGACTCATCCTGGATACTCCCGGGGTTACGCTCACTACGCTCTCTGCTACCCTGGAATATGTCATAGCAAAATTGAAGGCACAAAGATAGCTGTTTGATTGGTCCCAAGTAAAAAACAAAAACTGACCAATCGCTAGGCTGATACATTTCCTTTGAAGATTACAAAGGGGCGACACCCGACTTCAAAGTCAGTTATTTTTTACCTTACGGGACTGCGAGATTCTTTTGATGTACATCAAAGGATCAAACTAGTCTTCTTGTCTCATCAACAAGGTGGTGCACACCAAGCCTTCAATTTTGCTATGACATATTCCAGGGGTGCAGATAGCATATGTGAGCGTAACCGCTGGATATCGAGGATGCAATATACTTGGCTATCACACAGTTATCCTGATTTCCTTGTTACCCACAGTATATTTCGCTATCACACAGTTATCCTGATTTCCTTGTAACCCACAGTATATTTCGCTATCACACAGTTATCCTGATTTCCTTGTTACCCACAGTATATTTCGCTATTACACAGTTGTCCTGCTATTTGAACCCATTCCCTTTTCCTCACAATATATTTCACTGTCACTCAACTATATTCTAACAAACATTAGAAACTGCCACCAATAAATTACTCATAAAGTACTGTTAAGTGGATTTTTTTTTGTGTGGATACATTTGCATTGTGACTTTTTCAACTGGCTGCAGTGTTCACATTTTCGCATTGGAAATGGTTCTGAAATCTTATAACCTTCATATCTATAATCAATAAAATCTATAAATAAATATTTGCTTGTGAATTGTTTCCTCAATAAATTACTCAATGTGAAAAATGCAAGCATTTCTACACTGCAATCATTTTTCACTTTCACAATATCTCTCCACCTAAACCACAACTTCATGTTTTGGTTTATCAAATGAATGCCATGTCATGCTGTGTCATAAAGCCATCACATAAATTATGTTTATATAACATGTGTAATATCACTCCGGAAATGACGTCACAATCAAATAGGAACAATCAATGTGACGTTACGTCATTGTGAAGCAGATGCGGCCAAGTGCAAAATATTCGTTTCAGATCAAAATTATACAGTTTACTTTGTATTATATGATAAAAAGAATCTGTCATTCATTTTCCTTCGTCATTGTGAAGCGTACGCAATTTTCATCTTTTCAGAGGCGGCCAAGTGCAAAATATTCATTTCAGATCAAAATTATACAGTTTACTTTGTATTATATGATAAAAAGAATCTGTCATTCATTTTCCTTCGTCATTGTGAAGCGGACGCAATTTTCATCTTTTCAGAGGCGGCCAAGTGCAAAATATTCGTTTCAGATCAAAATTATACAGTTTACTTTGTATTATATGATAAAAAAAATCTGTCATTCATTTCCCTTCATATTAGATTTATGATACTCGAGCCTCTAAACATGAAAAATCAAAAACTTGTTATCATCAATGTAATATGAAGGGAAAATTATGACAGATCCTCTATATCTGAAGGAAACTGGAGTGCTTGTCGAAAAGGCATTTTACAAAGTGATAACCTTAATATATTGTGTGTAATGTTAAATAGTGAACACAGGAACCGGTGTATTTTTGCTAGACCTGGTCATGCCTAACAGAATATAGCTCAATGTTTGTAATTAACACATTCACCCCTGAAATTTCATAATGAACTATTCCAACCTTTGAAGTAGAAGAGTCAAAATGTGTTTTCAGGGGTGAATGAGTTAAGACAATTATTTCTGTAAATAAATAATTACACACAGACAAACCATTCACACCTGTTCATCAACTGTAATTGTATTACATCTCCAGCACACATGCAGCCATACACACATAGGGAGATACTAACCAGGTGGCATAGGACTAGTAGTTAGCGCCTGATAAGGCAGCTCCTGTGAATTCCTCAAAATTGTATTGATTAATGTATATATGCTAATTGTATTAATTGTATATCTATGTACTGTAAAGCGCTTTAGTGTAGCTTATGTTAGCTAGATAGGGCGCTATATCAAATGTTGTATATCTATTGTTGTGTTCAAAAAACTTACTTAAATCCTTTACAAATTTAGGGCGATATGGCTGCTCTTCCAAGCTGATTTGGGTTGTCTCCCCTACAGAACTTCCGAGTCCCTCGGTACTAACCTCAAAGTCCTGATCGGTGGTGGCTAGACTACTCACACTGGGAAGACAAAATAAACATAGAAATACACCTATTTCCAAGCAAAATTTGTGTGTATCAAAGTTTCAATTTATACACAAACAATGTACGATATACGCATCAAATGTGTCTTAAGGTTTCTGATGAAAAACTTGATATTACCATACAATGGTGTTAATATAAACTAAATGTGTTCTGGGGGTATTGAGATTAATAGAATCTCTCACTCCCTTGGGGGTAAGATAGGGGAATCTCAACCCAAGGGGGAGGATTCGTATGTTGCCAAACACGAGACTTTGCAGAGTGTTTGGCAAATTAAGAATCTTTTCCCGAGGGTTGAGATTCCCCTATCTCACCCACAAGAGGGTGATTGATTCTATTTCTCTCACCCTGTTCTCCAAATGTGTATCATATACACAATGTAATGATAACGTTACATGCTAAATTCAGGGTTGACGTGACGCTGATGGATAGTTGACATGACGTCATTGTTTTGTTGAAGTGACGTCATACTATTGTTATGAATAGGGGAATCCCCCCGTCTCAACCCTAGGGTGAGACAAGAAAATCTCACATCGGTAAAAGTGCAGATACACCTGTCCAGGGTAAGAGAAAAGGAAATCTCACACCGGTAAAAGTATGGATACACCTGTCCAGGGTAAGAGAAAAGGAAATCTCACATCGGTAAAAGAGCAGATACACCTGTCCAGGGTAACAGAAAAGGAAATCTCACACCGGTAAAAGTGCGGATACAACTGTCCAGGGTAAGAGAAAAGGAAAACTCACATCAGTAAAAGTGCAGATACACCTGTCCTGGATAAGAGAAAAGGAAATCTCACCCCGGTAAAAGTATGGATACACCTGTCCAGGGTAAGAGAAAAGGAAAACTCACATCAGTAAAAGTGCAGATACACCTGTCCTGGATAAGAGAAAAGGAAATCTCACACCGGTAAAAGTATGGATACGCCTGTCCAGGGTAAGAGAAAAGGAAATCTCGCACCGGTAGAAGTGCAGATACACCTGTCCGGGGTAAGAGAAAAGGAAATCTCACACGGGTAAAAGTGCAGATACACCTGTCAAGGGTAAGAGAAAAGGAAATCTCACATCGGTAAAAGTGCGGATTCACCTGTCCAGGATAAGAGAAAAGGAAATCTCACCCCGGTAAAAGTATGGATACACCTGTCCAGGGGAAGAGAAAAGGAAATCTCACACCGGTAAAAGTATGGATACGCCTGTCCAGGGTAAGAGAAAAGGAAAACTCACATCAGTAAAAGTGCAGATACACCTGTCCAGGATAAGATAAAAGGAAATCTCACACCGGCAAAAGTATGGATACACCTGTCCAGGGGAAGAGAAAAGGAAATCTCACATCGGTAAAAGAGCAGATACACCTGTCCAGGGGAAGAGAAAAGGAAATCTCACATCAGTAAAAGTGCAGATACACCTGTCCAGGATAAGATAAAAGGAAATCTCACACCGGCAAAAGTGCGGATACACCTGTCCAGAGTAAGAGAAAAGGAAATCTCACACCGGTAAAAGTGCGGATACACCTGTCCAGGGTAAGAGAAAAGGAAATCTCACATCAGTAAAAGTGCAGATACACCTGTCCAGGGTAAGAGAAATCTTGTACACCACTGATGGACATTTCGCCCGTGAGACGATCACAACACTTAACACTTTAACAAAATGACCACTAAAATGTAATCAGATGTATTACCCAATGTAACCATACTACATGTATGTCATAAAATAACATAATGTGTCGAGGGGTTTGTGAGATATATATAATACACAATATTATAATACAAATATGTAAATTTATCAACTAAATAAAATCATGTTCTGGGGTTCATGAGCTATACATGGTACACAAGCTTTTTGCTTTAGAAGTGGTTAAATGCAATCATTTCCTGTGTGACCCTTAACCTTCAACCTTGACGAATGACAAACAAAGTTTTATCACGTGTAGAAATCGACAATACATGTACTACACCATGATATGAATTTATTTTATTCTAGGGTTCATGGATTGCTTGAACACAAGTTGTTTACTTTAAAGGTGGAGAAGTGTGATCATTGTTCATTGTGATCATTGTTCATGACCTTTGACCCTTCAACCTTGATGAATGACAAACAAAGCCTTATCAGGTTCAGAACTTGACAATATGACAATACATGTACTACACCATAATATAAATTAATTTTGTTCTGAGGTCCATGAGATATCTGATACACAATCCTTTTACTTTAGAAGTGGTTAAATGAAATCATTTCCTGTGACCTTTGACCCTTCAACCTTGATGACCAACACAGCCTTATCAGGTGTAGAAACTAACAATACATCCTAAACAATATGCTGTAAATTATGTACAAAATACATTCAGGGGTTCCCGAGAGTTCTTATACACAACATTTTAGCACAGACAGACACATGCAGTGATGCACTGACAAAGCAATCACTATATATCCTGCTCACTAATGAGTGGGGGATTATTACGGTAGAGAACTCTTTTATTGTTAAGCATGTTTTTTTACTTTGAGATGTTAACCAATTGAACTCATTCACCCCTACATATTAAAACTGGACTTGCCCAAGTCCGCAAAACTCATTCACCCCTATATATTAAAACTGGACTTGCCCAAGTCCACAAATACTCATTCACCCCTACATATTGAAACTGGACTTGCCCAAGTCCACAAAAACTCATTCACCCCTACATATCAAAACTGGACTTACCCAAGACCACAAATACTCATTCACCCCTACATATTGAAACTGGACTTGCCCAAGCCCGCAAAAACTCATTCACCCCTACATATTGAAACTGGACTTACCCAAGACCACAAATACTCATTCACCCCTACATATCGAAACTGGACTTGCCCAAGTCCGCAAAACTCATTCACCCCTATATATTAAAACTGGACTTGCCCAAGTCCACAAAAACTCATTCACCCCTACATATTGAACCTGGACTTGCCCAAGTCCGCAAAAACTCATTCACCCCTACATATTGAACCTGGACTTGCCCAAGTCCGCAAAAACTCATTCACCCCTACATATTGAACCTGGACTTGCCCAAGTCCGCAAAAACTCATTCACCCCTACATATTGAACCTGGACTTGCCCAAGTCCGCAAAAACTGATTCACCCCTACATATTGAAACTGGACTTACCCAAGTCCACAAATACTCATTCCCCCCTACATATTGAAACTGGACTTGCCCAAGTCCACAAATACTCATTCACCCCTACATATTGAAACTGGTCTTGCCCAAGTCCGCAAAAACTCATTCACCCCTACATATTGAACCTGGACTTGCCCAAGTCCGCAAAAACTGATTCACCCCTACATATTGAAACTGGACTTGCCCAAGCCCGCAAAAACTCATTCACCCCTACATATTGAAACTGGACTTGCCCAACCCTTGATTTGGTAAGGTTCAAATGTGACTTTAGGGGTGATGGGTTAATATAGCAAACAGTTATACAAAAGACAAATATAAATAATGATTTATATTCCACAAAAGCTTCTCCTCTAGACCTTCATCCCCCCCCCCTCCGACCTCTTAATTATAAAGCAGAGAGCTTAAACACTAAAAAGTCCTGCAACATGTAGAACTTTGCCATTTTATGAAAATAGAAGAAATATTTAACATAAATTTTACAGGAAAACAACCTTTCCTGAATACACTGTCAACATCTACAATTAAGTACTGTTTTTCGTTTTTCTGTCAAAGAAAGTGAAAACAAAAAAGAAAAAAAAACCCACATAACTATTTGACTACCTTCATAATTTCCAGAAACATATCCTACCAACCTTTTCTCTAGAAACCTGTCGGCTTTTTCCTGGAGTTTCCTCGTGCGCTCCTCGGAGGGAGACGCTGGAACAAGCTGTGGCTTACGTAAACCCTGAAAGTGATATATGTACAAAAATAGATTGTAAACAGTGAAAAAGTGACCCTAACCTCAGACTTTGAGCCATATCTATTATTTAGACTGAACTGCTTTCCCTATTAAAATAAGTTTTATCTTCTAAGGATCCCCGTACCATTGGGTCCCTGTAGGTAGGGCGTAAGAATTGTACCTGCTGCCCCTTTTGCATGATTGTAAGAGGCGACAAAATTTGGGATCTTATCTTTTCTCTACTTTCTAAACATCTTTCTTCTTCCTAATGTCTCCCTTGACAATGCCTCACGTTTGGCCTTTAGTTGAGCGTTCGCCCCTGTGAGGAAGGCTTTGGGTTCGGTCACCAGGCCGAGACATACCACAGTCTCTACTAGTTTCTACTCCGGCTTAACGCTCAGCAATTTAGGAGTGGGGCGACTGGTTCTCCCGTTGTCAGTATAATGTGACCGGGTGGGGTGAACATGTCCTGCTGGATGTCTTCGGCAGTATGTTTCAGTGAGGTAGCACTATAAAGTCGGCATCAGTTCCGCGCTATCACAAGGAGACAAACACGATCATATTGCAGCCTGCCAAAACACACATGCATACAGGGGAGGCCGTCCTTAAATGACCACAGTTGTTGATAGGACGTTAAACAGTACTAAACCAGAACCAAACTAAACTCGTACCATTGTCGAAAACTACAATGAAATCGTTTTTTCCTGCATTATTATAACACTGATAAATCATTTTTAAAAGAAAACGTTGTGGGATTTTTATGGATTTTTTTTAATTAATGATGAAGTATACAAAATACATTCGACAAGAGTGTATTCAGCGATTGAGTTACCTGGTCAATGGAAGGGAACTAGCCCAAATGTGCTAGCTATATCCAAATGGAAGTAAAAGGGAGATAACTGTGTATGAGAAAAACGACAGTGTAGTGGGACAGGGATCCTTAAACAGTTCCTGTTTTGATGGTCGAAGATAATAATCAACCTTCTGGACAACAATAACCCAAGTCTTATCAGCAGCCAAGAATTGAAGACATGGAACAAATATTAGCTTAAGTTTAATTCTTTACGTATCAAAATTTGAGATTGTCTGCGACTGGAAATGGATATAAACGAAGTAATAATAACACTTTCTTACGACATTTCTTATTTGATTGAACTGTTTTCCTGTTTAATATTAGGTTTAACTCCCCCCCCCCCCCCCCCCCCCAACCAAAAAAGGAAAAATGTGTTTCCAGTTTCTCTACTGACCCTAGATTTTAGTACCTACCCTAATTTTGTATTGGCATTTGGTGATAAGTACTGTTAAAGTCAGAAATCTGCTTCATATTGTCCTACCAACCCTAATTTTTTTCAAGCAGAAGCAGGAAACACATTTTTTTTGTGTATCATTTTTATGGTACAGAAATATAATTGACATTTAATTCTACACCACAAGTTCTGTTATTTTCATTCATCAAGAACTGAAGCCATTTAACAAAAGTTATGCTTTAAGTTTTGATTTTTCACAATTAAGAATCTGGTTTTACCTTGGAATGGATATAAAGACATACCAGTGGCGTTTTTCTGGGAACTTTTTGGGGCCGATAATGGACCCCATTCCCAATTGAAACTATTTTATACATTTTCCTAAATCCCAAAATTTGCAATTTCTCCTGAGAATTTTCTTCCCAATGAGACAAAAGCTTAGGTCCCCCTCCAAATCAACGAAAAATCCCTGTATAAATGCCCAACTAATCAAATATCAGAATCGGTGAGATTATTCTACTAACCAAATATCAGAATCGGTGAGAATGTTCTACTAACCAAATATCAGAATCGGTGAGATCGTTCTACTAACCGAATATCGGCTTTGGTGGGATTGTGACAGACTGGCTAGTGACTCCTCAGTCAGCCGGTGTGTTTTCGCCTTTAGCACGTGGCTACTATCCTCTCGAGGAGTGGAGCTATCCGACGGCGACCCTTTCTCCCTGCCCCCCTGATCCAGCCACCAAAAGTCCCTGGGGTCAGACATTTTCTGGCGTTCTTCCCGACTCATTGCGTCACCTCGTCTAAATCTGTCAATGTACCTGCACAAAAAAGATATTGTTGTATTTACATGTCTCCCTTCTTCAGCTAAGTAAACTCTTGGCTGCATATGAATTAGCATATAAGCAATGAAAAATGGCTCGGCACACCATAGCATATGTCCATTGCCAACTGCGTCATACTACTGTGAATGCCGTCAAAATGAAGGCAAATCCATAAATCTTTGATATCAATACAGGGTTTGTGTAATAATGGTGTAACTGATTTTTTTTGCTCAGTTTTACAGACGAACTTAGGCTGTTTCTCCTAGCTAAATGACCAAAAAAATGAGGAACATACATGTATTCCCAATTTCAATGAAAATTATGCTATATTTTCCAAATTCATAAAGGAACAGGCTGTTGTAAAATTTAGGTAAAAAAATGCCACATTCAGGACATGATAAACAATATAAGAGTGTAGACCTGAATTAACTACTTAACATTGTCAACATGTAAGAATCAGATTGTGTAGCTGTAAAAAGAATTTTACCGGCCAAGCACCGATGTTGTTGGCGGACCACCGTCTTCAGTCGTGGGCTGTTTTCCCCTTGCAGCGTGTTTGCCACTGAGTAAGGTACCATCGTTTTCAGAAAACTGTAAGGTCTGCTTGAGATCAGCAAATCGATCGACATAGGAAGAGTATTTCTGGGACAAATCTGTCGTCGGTGGACTACGCTCATCAATGCCAAACATGCTGACAAAGGAAACATAAGATCGTCAGTTCAACATGTTATCAGAAGTAGGATTGAAAGAAATGTTGGGAATCGGTTGAGATTTCAACATCGATGATCGGATATAATCGGTTAGTGTCAACCGACAGATTTTTGATTATTAAACGGTTAGCCTAGCTACCGTTACATAATCCTTAAAAAAATATTACTTTTTTTTAACAATGGCACGGCTTTTCCTTTTATTATTTTAACTTTGCTGCATAGTTTCCTATCTTTATGTTTTATCATACCATTTCAACGTAACAATCTTTATATGAAGAACAGTTCTCATTTATATTTTTTGCAATTAATTCTGTTTAAATAGCATGATTGGTAAGAAGTTATAGTTAAGAGTAAAATGACATAGAACTCCTGCTCTCTCTTAGTGAAAATGAAAGTAGAACTCGCACTTCCGGTTTTGCAAAAACAATCATCGTGTTGACATCTCATAATTGATTGTCAGGAATCGGTTGCCTTTCCGATTAGATATCGATTATAATCGATCACCGCGACAAGGTACATGTAGGTGAACATTTTGCCCTGATGTTTAAAACAGGTAAAGCCAAAATATAATATCTCGGAGGGGAAAAGGACAAACAGTAATTAGTTAAACCTAGGACAGTGAAAACCTGGTGATTAGGACAAACAGAATTATTTTTCTGCCATGGGTTTAATTTAACTTATAATGAGATAAAACATGTAAGCAGGTAAGTTATTTAATTGAGGTATCTATCTATTTCACAATAAAAAAAAAAATGACAAAATAGTGTCTTGGAGCATGAATCCTGAATTTAACAGTGTTTATTATTTTTTCATATAATTCCCAACAAGTGATTGGCCAGGAGTGCATCACCTGTCCACCGATAAAATCGATATTGACTTGGAGCACATTTTATTTGTTGAAGGACCGGATGTTTCTAAAAATGGAATTATGACGTGTCTCCAAACAAACGCATCGTCCCGCTTCCGAATTTTTTGTTGTTTTTTTGCTGATTGCTTACATTACTGTTTTTTTGTAAATAATAAAACAATTGTAGCCTTTAACTTCGGTCGATACCTGGATTTATCAAACTCAGCCAAAGGCTATAATTGAATATTGTCTAAGAATTGGCATAAAATATCAAGGCTCTGCAATGAAAATTTGGGTGAGTGATGTTACCCTTAAGAAACGTATTTGCTTTATTTTGCCTTACTAGACCACTGGTCTTAACTGTATTGGGAGATGTGGGGTGTGCTATATCCATAGTATTGGTCCTGGCCAACAGGTAAAATTAGAAAATTATACCAGCAATGGGCCTTACCTATATTTTATAGTAAATATTGGAAAAAAGTCACTCATGTAGTATACAGTACCATATTTCATCAGGGTTAAGCCCACTCCTGAAGAACCCCCTCAACTCCTTCCACTTATTTTTTGACATCTCATCTGTTTTTCAGTATATCTTTTCAAATTAAATGTTAAACATTTTCAAAGGTTCCAAAATATAATGTACTCATTGATTTTTTTTAGGGATTTTTAAATGAATCCTGAACATCATGGATGGTGAGTCACATTTCCAATTAATTTGACTGTTGTTAAATGTAACATCTTCGGGTATAAATCTTGGCAGACCTGTAAATATTTCTGAAGGCCATGCAAGCTAGCTAGGCTAGCCAAAAAGCAGCAACAGATTGCTAGTTCAGAACTTATTTCATAAATGAACAACTCTTGTTGAACCGGTTCAACTGTGTGCATCACGATAAATGAATGCAGCCCAATTAATACGGCAGGTACATAAACGTACTGAGAATTTTCCCTTTATACATTAAATCTACAAGTCCTAAGGTTAGTGGAATCGTTCACCCCTGCAGTCACATGTACGTTTGCCCTACCTTACAGTAGACTGGTGTTCAGTGCTCGGCCACGACTCGTCAAAATTCGGTGAAGCTTCCTGACCTAGTTTCGGGGGGGTCTCACTAGAAAGTGTATTGGCCCCTTTAAGGAACTGCTTGTCAGGAACCGTCAACTTTGTCCTTTCGTTATCTCCCTTGCTTGTTCCACGAACTGGACTCAGCGCAGTCTGAAACAAGAGCGCTCTATACGTGTATACCATGTCAAGTGTGAATTGGGTAAAAGGTAATTTTATCACAGAATTCCAATTAAAGATGATAACCTATTTACTGATTTTAACTGAAGAAAATATGGATAGTATCCTCTTCCAGTGAAAATATTAAGAAATGAAAATCTTCAAATGCCAAAATTGTAACACACCAGAAACCATGCTAAAGCCAAACAATAAAACATGATGATGTGTTGTAAATTTATTAAATATTTCAGATAATGCAGATTAATTTTAAACAAGCATTCTGTGGGTATTGATGAATCAATACATGTTCCCTGGCCATGATAGTTAGGTGGAAAACATGTCAAAAATTGAAAAAAAAATCAAAAAAATCCATATTTTCCATTTTCAATCCACAGCATTAATGCTAGACCCCTATAGAACCTCAATGCATCATTATTAAGTGAATGGTAAGCCATTACAAATCTTTAACCAAAACATTAACCAAAGGTAACGAAAGGACAACTGATGTAGACAGACAAAAAAAACTACAGTCCACCCAGTTTCGCCAGTAGGGGACTAAAAATGAGCAAGCGAGTTTTCAAATGGAAATGAAATGCTGCATGCTACCATAGAAAACTGTTCATTTCTCAGTGATAATTTTTGTGGATGGGTGAGGGGGTTGCTTTGCTTTTATGAACACACTTTGTCTTTAACCATCCAAATTATACTACCTGTTTCTGTGCCTGTGACAGGTCTCTTTGTAGAGTTGGGTGATAAAATGCTTTTGGTACCGGGTCTTCAGCAAATGGATCTCTAGAAGAAAAAAAATATGTTTGAACAAATTCTGGAATCAGTCCCTGTTGAAGCTTTATTATATTTCGAAAAAAATAACATGTGGCAGATTTCAATTGTATGTATGCCGTCTAGTTTCGAGCTAGAGGGTATTTTTCTATAATAGCTCATTGGTTAGAGCGTCCGACTAGGAACCTGGAGATCGGGGTTTGATCCCTGGTGGAAACACTTTTCTCTTTCCTGTTACAAATAGTGTCTATGGCAGTGTGGTGACAGGGAGTTAGAACCTTGATTGTGGTGTTCGAGGGCGAACACATTTTAAAAAGGGGGAGGGGGCTAGTAGTGTGGCAGATTTCAATTGCACATATGATTACGGTTGCCTGCTAGCTTCCAGCTAGGAGAATTTCCCTTTAGCTGATCAGTGGTAGAGCCTCCGACTAGGAACCTGGAGATCGAGGGTTTGATCCCTGGTGGAAGCACTCTATTCTCTTGACTGTTACAAATAAATATGTACTTTTTGTTCTATCTTTTTAAACTTAAAGACTTCGAAATTCTTTGTTTAACAAACCTTAATATTTTCCATAGGGAATGGCGCAATTTAAAATTTAGCAAAACGTCCACTGTATTCAATTAAAAATGATGACATTATTGGAAAAAAAAGAAAAACTCAATTTTGTATGTTCTCTATATTTGTAATAATATTTTTTTCCCATAAAGTTGACAGAATTCTTTTTCAGACTCTTGTCACTGTTAACTTCCAAAAGAGTATGAAGTCAGTGAAATGACTGCGCAGAAGGGGAAGGGGCCTCTCCTTATTATGGACTAAGTTAGTTAGTTTAGTATGAGTCTGCGATTAAACTCAAGTTTGAGCATGTTTTCAAACTTTCATCGTCCGTATTCTGCTTGCCACTGTCAGCTGTATAAAATAAAAAGATACCCTTCTTCCGATGATAGTCACCTAAACCGCTGGTACTTTGGAATCTCGGAAACCATTTTGTGTCATGAATGCTTTTCAAGTGATGTCAAATCATTCTACCGACGTCAACAATGTTCAAGTGTGAGCGCCATCATGTAAACAGTGCCTCATTTCAAAGTGGTTGATACATTTTACAAACTACACATATTTTTAACGAAAATAATTTCAAGTTAAGAAACAATTAAAGCTCTAAAAAATATTTTTTTGTCGACGAAATATTTTAATAATAAATGAAAATAACAACAAATAAAAGTTTAAACGTGGTTTAAGTTTTATTTTTTAATTATTTTACAATGTTTAACTAGAAATTTCTGATCTGAAAATTTAACCCTAGTTATTCAAGATGGCGGCGAAAGGCAAGCAGAGTGCTGAACAAATTGTAGCCGGTTTTCAGGAACTTAGGCAGCAACAGAGGGCTTTTGCGACAAAAACATCAGAACTAGAGATGGATATGAAGGAACACGAGTAAGATATGATAACATTTATGGAATGATTGGTGTAACAAAATCCAATATTCTACTTGAATCTCGTAACGTTGTCGGTAAACACGTGTTTCCATGATACACTGAACTGACAGCTGATTAGTACGGCCCACTTACACAAGGTGGAAGGTTCGAGTTCTGCTTCTGTTATTCTGAATTTTGTCATTGAGCAAGACATTCTATACCTCTGATTGGTAATATTAGAGCTTCAACGTACAGGTAGCCTGATTAGGCTTGTTACCATGTGTAAAAGGATCGTTCCAACACCTAGGTTCGGTGATATTGGGTCCGTCAGGGTATTACAGTCTGATAGGATTGAAGTTTGGCAAATAAACACAGTCACCGAAATATAAAATTCAGGTAGTTTATTAAGGACATGCAAATATCTACGCACCAGGACATGAGTTTAGACCACGCTGTCACACACTCGAGCACACATACACCTCAATAACATGGCTTTATTTACAAGTGGTACAAGGCCTAGGCCTAACTGACTATATATACAGACGGCTACATGGCCATATGCCTATTGAATAGATGTCGAAATGATATACTGACGGCTACACGGCCATATGCCTATTAAATAGACGACGACATGGTTCAAAACACGACTCTAAAACTCCTACAAAAATACTACACGACTACAGAGAAACTACTGCTAGTACTGTGACTGGTAATCTATCTACGCTAACATTATCCTATTGCGGTTTAGAGACCCTATACCTACAGCTACTACTAAAGTAAAAAAGAAGTGAGCCGAACCAGTCCTGTCAAGACTTTTATTCTGACTCCCGAAAGCACACAGGTGTACCGGCTTTGCACATGAAATAGTCGCGCACAATTTCTTGAAACATTTCCGCTGTTGCTATAGAGTTTCGAACAGTATATCAACTTCCGGTAAGCAGACAGCCGTCAAATATAACTCTTTTAAGCTTACAAATTTACTGAACTTTTACATTATGTTTAAGCCCAGAATCCCAAAGTACATGAGAGCATGGATGAGAGTGACTGGGGGGGATTTGAGTTGTGGGTTGATTGATGGATTGGTTTTAAGTCCGCTTCACTACCAAGTAGTTTGGTTGTCCAGCAGACGAAGAAAAGACGTAGAAGGGATAAAGTATGGAGTGAAGGAATAGAAAAGGGAGACGGGGAAGAGAAGGAGCCGTCTATCCGGAGTTGTGGGGCCTAAGGCTGGGTTTTATAGAGCATGACCCTGCACAAGAGTTGCTGTAAGCAGGTGTAGAGAAACTGTACTATACTCAGGACCTAGGGAGACGACAGACATTCAGGCCCAGCTCCCTAGACAGTACTAACATGTAATATTTATATAAATACATTAACTCATTCACCCCTGAAATTTCATAATGAAGTATTCCAACCTTTGAATTGGAAGAGTTCAAATGTGTCTTCAGGGATGAATGATTTAACAGTCCTTGGGCAGATAAAGTGAGTGTGATGAAATACTTAAGTAGCCATGTACTGACTTCAAATAAAATATACTTGACTTGGGGTAGTTTCATGTGGTTTGTATACGGTTATGCTAGCAGAACAATACAGACGTTTCGGTACATGGTCTTTTTGTTACTTTTATAACTTTGCATTTCAGGTGGCGCAGAAATATTGCACGATAAACGAACTCATTTGGACCAAACTATAAGCAGAGTTAAAAAATGCACAGTTTCAGAGAATAAATAACAATATTTATATCAAGAATAAAATATATATGTCCTTCGTTCATGCGTCCACTAATGATATAACCAGTTTAAAATCTGCATCTGGATTGACATTGTTTTATAAAGAAAAACGCAAGCTAGAAATAGTCACGCATTTCAGTTTCGATCATGCCTCAATTTACACATCCCAAGTATTCCTGAGTTCCAACAAGGGAGAGTACAAAATGAAAAGTATCGCAGTCACAAAACAGTCGATATGATATCGCGGCCCTTGCGATCCAACACATTGATGCATTGGTGATTCGTTACACCCCTAATATTTTATAGCATTTGGACTGACATTTCAACATCCTAATTAGTAATTAAGAGGGTATAGCTATTACTTTTTAAGCGCCGTCGTTTGAGTTCCATTGGGTTTATTTAACGCGAACTTCATACAGTGCTTCCTTCCTAAAAGTGCTTGCTTGGGATTGCTGTTCAGGTCCAAAGGTCAGGGTCACCGTAACTGTAAATAGAAAATCTGTTTCCGTGCGATAACTTCAGTTTCTTTAGGTCGATCAAGCTCAGACTTCATACAGTGCTTTCTTACCAATAGTGCTTGCTTGGGATTGCTTTTCAGGTCCGAAGGCTAAAGGTCAAGGTCACTGTTACTATAAATAGAAAATCTGTTTCCGTGCGATAACTTGAGTTTCTTTTGCTATAGGTTGATCAAGCTCAGACTTCATACAGTGCTTCCTTACCAACAGTGCTTGCTTGGGATTGCTTCTCAGATCAGAAGGTCAAAGGTCAAGGTCACCGTTTCTATAAATAGAAAATCTGTTGCGCAGGGACACATCAACTCCTGTGGAATTCTTGTTTCATCTATATCAGTCATTATGCATGCACATCACACTGCTCTGGTAGCGACATGGTCGAATATTCCAGAACAAAGCTGCCAGTGTTTACTTTACTGTCACAGAAGTTTCAATGTGCATCCATATAGAATAAGAAGTTTTACATTAACTCTTGGTTGTATAATTAAAAAAAAATGAATTACAAATATGTTCCGTGTTTCTAGATGTTGTTGAACCACTCATTATTAAGCAATGGCAGTTATTGGACTGTTAACCCTTTCACCACTGTAGACCATAATCAACTCGCCCAGATCAATGCATGGAAGAGTCTACTAAAGTTACATAGGGGTGAAAGGGTTTAATTATCTTGCTGGTAGTATACGCAGCCATATATAAAACCAACATCAAAAGTCATCAATCCACTGAGCAGTTTTTCACTGCGTACATATACACTTACCTGTATGCAGTCAGACTTAAGTATGCTGAAGAATGGAGATATATGTAAATATACATGTGTGAAATGACAAATTTAACTGATAAAAACTCTTGTTTTGTTATAGATTCTTAATTACAACTAGTTTACCCTATCCTTATTTTGTTGATTTAGGTTGGTCATTGAGACACTGAAGGAAGTTGAGGACGACAGGAAGTGTTTCCGGATGGTCGGCGGTGTCTTGGTAGAGAGGACTGTCAAAGACGTTCTACCTGCCCTCATCAGCAACAGAGAACAGGTCAATACTGTTTGATATCAATAGGAAAATGTTGTGTTTTTTCGTGAGATTTGTCGTTTATTATACATCAGTGTGCAGTGCAATTTGTGATTACGTCAAAATCTTGACTAGTATGTATGTACTATATACCTTATAAATTCAGTCCATGAGGGGCCAACGTTTACACACACTGTATAACATGAAATTTTCGTGGGTATTTTCCTTATTAGTTTGAAGCCATTTAAATCATTTTGTCGAACAAACTTTGGTGGATGTTCTATATTAACAAACAGCTGACACGTATGTCGTTCAAATTTGTTGTATTTATTTTCATGGTTCAACAGCAAACACGAAAACCACAAATATTTATACACCACGAACATTTCATGTTATACAGTATCTACGTTACCTTCACAGTAGGGGACCGCCGTAGTACAGGACAAGATAAACTATTTATACACCACGAACATTTCATGTTATACAGTAGTCTCCCTTCACAGTAGGGGACCGCAGTAGTACAGGACAAGATAAAATGTTTGTTGACAATTCTCCTGAACTGAAATAGCTATTAGTGAGCTTATTATATATAATTACCAAACATGGATAAGTAAAGTTATCACAGTTTATTTAGGTTACAATGAGTGTCACCCAGCTCACACACAATTGGTCGTCTCCTCTTTTCCTCCCAGGATTCAAACAGGTTTTAGACACACATGTCACTTGATAGTGGGGGCATGTGTACTCCGATATACACCCAAGATGGGAGAGTTTCACAAAACAAGATGCAAAAGACCCTGAAATGCAGTTCCAAACTGCATGTCTAACACTAACAGGGTACTAAACAGCAGATATTATGTTCGTGAAGAATTTGAAATTTTACCCATTTTTGTCCAAATTTACCAATGTTTTACTCTGACGAAGTGTGTTTGCTACTGATTTACTTTTACAACAGAAGTTTGCATGCCCCCTTAATATACCATGTGACTGTCGATGCACATGACCTTTATTCAGGGAACTTGTATCGCAAAAAAGACGTATATGTGTATATATATATATATTCCACACCATAGACAAATCACTGCACCGGTACAATTTGACGTCAAATCGTCCAACTCTACTCATGTTCACTTATCCATAGTTAAAGTTTACTGTTTATGAGTTTATATGAAATAATGTAATAATGTAACATCGTATCAGAAATAAGTCATGTGTTTCCTTTTCCAGATGGGTAAAATTGTTGAAACATTGACAGAAAAGCTAGAGTCAAAAGGTACGGAAATCAACAAATACAGAGAACAACACAATCTGAAGATAAAAGGAGAGGAGTCCAAAGAGATTGAGAAACCAGACCAGGAGGTAAAATCTGGAGGAGTTCTGGTGGCGAAAGAGTCCTAAATGTGTCGGTGTGTGACTATATATATATATAGCAACTTGTGCTTGATCAGATGGTATAACCTACAGTGAACACTCCCGACCTTGGCGGGCGATGGGGTATACCCACAGCTGGCTTATGGTGGATTTACAAAACTTGCACATTTAAAGACTGTGTTAGCTTTTGGTATCTTTATTTTTAACACAACTTTCACCACTGTAGACCGTAATGGACTTTTCCAGATCAATGGATGGTAGAGTCTACTAAAGTTACATAGGAGTGAAAGGGTTAATAAATACCTGACAGAATGTTCATGAAGAACCTTTTATTGAATATTTGGATTGCATAATGTTCAAGTAGAATTCATTGGAAATAATTTTAAAAGCTTTTCATCGCCACAGTCGAACATAAAAGTTAATCAAAATGTCACAAATATAAAAAGACGAAGAACAAAAAAGGTAACTACCTGGTAACTGGAACAAGTGAAATACAAATGTGTTCCTATATACTTTTGATTTGGACAATTAAGGGAGATACTCTGTGTTTATCTTCTGCGTCATATACCGGGTAACTGGAACAAGTGAAATACAAATGTGTTCCTATATACTTTTGATTTGGACAATTAAGGGAGATACTCTGTGTTTATCTTCTGCATCATATACCGGGTAACTGGAATTCAAGCTGGTTGTTGGTAATGCATGCAGCACAAGTCAATTTTTTTATACGTTTTTTGCTAACAGTCAAATAAATATTGTTTTGTTCATATTAAGCTGTCTTTTGAAACCGAGGATATGAATGTTCACATGGAAAATATCACATATACCTGGTGTTCAAGTTTTACCCAAGTTCTGGAGGAAGGTTCAAGTTTACATCTCTGCCGTATCCTTATATTAGCTTAATTCGTTCACCCCTGAAGACACATTTGAACTCATCCAATTCAAAGGTTGGAATAGTTGATAAAGAAATTTCAGGGGTGAATCAGATGTCATCAGATAACATTTTAACTAAAATTGAAATAATGTATATCCTTTGATTCAAAATGATTACATACGAATAAGGGTTAGTAAAAAATACTTGCATTTCTTGAAATATTTGTCGTAAGTCCAACACATTGGGAAAATCAAATCTTCGAAGTTCAATTTATGGAAGTTAAATCTGGTCATTTGACAGGTTTGTTTTACTGGCTTCTTGGCCATTTCTTCATCTGAACCTTGGCATTATAAAGAGGGGATGACAGTGTATGGAAGGTATAAAGAAGTGTTACTGTGGTGACTTGTACAATCTGGTTGCTGGAGTAATGTACACACTTTCAGGTGTGAAATGTCAGATGTTGGTGAATGACAAGTCTAAATGCTGGTGTGTTCAAACATTTACATTATTGAGTGAATTTGAGAGTGAGAGAGTGTAATTTTTATCCCTTTTTGTTAATTAGAAGTTATTTAAGAATGATTTGAACCATTTTCATTTCTGGGTCCCCCTATGGGGATTGCGCTTGGAGAAATAGTGGAACAGGTTCTGTAAGAGTATCTCTATGTAATAAAAACTTAACATGCTGAACAGTTGTTGCGTTGTTTTAAATATACAAAAAGCTTCTCAAAGGACGATTAAAACAAGAGACCCATGGGCCTTAACGGTCACCTGATATATTTATACAGAGTTGATTTTTGTTTTTAACATGAACAGAAATATTATTCAAAGTGACAAAAAACAATAAAACCACCTTATTCAATATCTAGCATGCAGATTTAAGACTGAAAAGTATTTGAAACTAGCACCTCTGATTCTAAATAAGGAAAATGAAGAAATTTTATTTTAGCACACAGACTCCATTGGGCCCCACCCTACAGCCCTTGGGGGTAGGGATGGCTCAAAATTTATAAAGTATCAAACTGTCAACTTAGGGTTATAATTCCAATCAAGTTATCAACATGTAATATTCAAAGTATCATTTGCCATTATAAACCATAACAAATTTTGCTCCTTCCCCAAGTGGAAACGCGAGACCCCAGGGTCATGAAATTCACAATTTTGGTAAAGCACCTTTAGACCCTTCCATCTATGAAGAGTATTTGATTCTACCATATCTGGGTCTTGAGAAAAAGATTTTTGAAATTTTAGTCAATTTTACCCTTTTTGGCCCTGCCCCTCAGGCCCCTGGGGGCTGGGGACCATATAATTCACAATTTTAGTTGACCGTTGGCCATGGAAGGTTTCTGCAAAATTTCATTGAGATTGGTTCAGGGGTTTTGGAGAAGAAGTCGAAAATGTAAATTGTTTACGGATGCACGCCAGACAAAAGGCGATCGCAATAGGTCACTTGAGACTTTGTCAGCCAGCCATCTTGAATTTGAGAATGAAAGTTTGTTAGTGCCATTTCTCATAAAATATTTGGAGGGATATTTCTCAAATTTAACATAGGTTCCCCATCGCCCCTAGTTATGCATATCATATTTTGGGACTGATCACAAAACCAAGATGGTCGACGGGTAGCCATCTCTAATTCGAGAGTTAAAAGTTTGCAAGTGCTATTTCCCAGAACATATCGGTTCGTCTGTTCATGCCAAGCATTTATATGGTTGGGATTAGTGGTTCTGAAGTCTTAGCTCACTTTGGTCCTTCCTTTGGATGTGTGGAAATGCCCATCCGGGTCCCGATTATCGACCTATAACATGCTGGGATAAAGGCCCATTAGGTTTGTTAAAATAAATGACCTTGACCGACTTTCAAGGTTACAGGGGTCAAATGTGTGACAGCTCTACACATGACTTGCTGGACAAATGTTTCAATAAGTTTGCCCAAAAAAATTTCAATCGACTAACTTTTCTAAGAAAAATAAAAGTGTAAAATGATATTTGGCATTTAGTAAAGGTTGTTTGCTACATGTATCGAGTTTGTTGTAAATTTGACCTTGACCCATTTTATATGTCACAGATATACAAATGTGTTTCTCCAATAACAGGCAATACAGACAAGAGATGAAGGGTGACTGGCCTTTTGGTAACAGTCCCCTATATTTACTCTTTCTGGTAGTAGTTACCGAAATCTTTTTTTAGACATCTCAAAAGTGCATGTTTGATATAATACCTTACATTCTTCATATACAGAACAGGGAGAAAGCAGCATTTCTCTCATCGTTGCATTAGTAGCAAATTTACAAACCATCAAGAAATACTTCATTTGGTTTTAAGAACATGTAGTGTTCAGACTGTTGGTCCGACACATTTCAGCATTTTGATGTAATCGCAGTTTTGAAGAATTTCAGCTTAAGCATGCCAGCACACCCGAAGGATTAGTCACACTTAAGTGATTTTCAATACTGTACCACCAGAAGGAAAGACTAAAGTAAAATTTAGTAAAGTTCAAGTGATCATGAGTGCAGCAAGGATCGACAGCACAACACAATTATTTTGATGTTGCTTTGCTGTAAACTTCTTAGCTTGTATCCATTAGTCTTTACCTTTGCTGTAAACTTCCTAGCTTGTATCAATTTGTCTTTACCTTTGCTGTAAACTTCCTAGCTTGTATCCATTAGTCTTTGCCTTTGCTGTAAACTTCCTAGCTTGCCTCCATGAGTCTTTACCTTTGCTGTAAACTTCCTAGCTTGTATCAATTTGTCTTTACCTTTGCTGTAAACTTCCTATCTTGTATCCATTAGTCTTTACCTTTGCTGTAAACTACCTAGCTTGTATCCATTAGTCTTTACCTTTGCTGTAAACTACCTAGCTTGTATCCATTAGTCTTTACCTTTGCTGTAAGCTTCCTAGGTTGCATCCATTAGTCTTTACCTTTGCTGTAAACGTCCTAGCTTGCATCCATTAGTCTATACCTTTGCTGTAAACTTCCTAGGTTGCATCCATTAGTCTTTACCTTTGCTGTAAACTTCCTAGGTTGAATCCATTAGTCTTTACCTTTGCTGTAAACTTCCTAGCCTGCATCCATTAGTCTTTACCTTTGCTGTAAACTTCCTAGCTTGTATCAATTAGTCTTTACCTTTGCTGTAAACTTCCTAGCCTGCATCCATTAGTCTTTACCTTTGCTGTAAACTTCCTATCTTGTATCCATTAGTCTTTACCTTTGCTGTAAACTTCCTATCTTGTATCCATTAGTCTTTACCTTTGCTGTAAACTGCCTAGCTTGCATCCATTAGTCTTTACCTTTGCTGTAAGCTTCCTAGGTTGCATCCATTAGTCTTTACCTTTGCTGTAAACTTCCTAGCTTGTATCCATTAGTCTTTACCTTTGCTGTAAACTTCCTAGCTTGCCTCCATGAGTCTTTACCTTTGCTGTAAACTTCCTAGCTTGTATCCATTAGTCTTTACCTTTGCTGTAAACTTCCTAGCTTGTATCCATTAGTCTTTACCTTTGCTAACATCATCTCCATTGAGGTGCATCCAATAAGAAAATAAGATGTCTGGACTAGCCTGCAACCTCTAATTCAGCCATCAACCGGTTCTGCTGTTATCATTCAATCCCTTTGATATACAAATGAAGATGTCGGCATGTTGTGTATATATGCGGCCAAGAAACCCCATTTTAACTACAGCTTTAGCTTGCTGCCATTTAAGAACTATCTTTCAAGACGGTTTGTACACTTTGAAAACAGGATATCTTACTAGCCTACAAATAAAACATCTATGTGACCAAGTATAACTTGATCAGCTAACTTGGTGTTGGAAACGATTCCAGATTGGCATGTTCTTCGTTACTTAATTTGTTGAGTTGTGTAAATGCAAGCTATTTTCAGTCCTAAACATGTCCCTCAACAAATTGGTATTTTCAGTACCGATATAAAAAACCTTCCCCAAAATTCCAACACCGCCAGATAACCTAGCTCGTCAATCCGAAATATATATTGTTTCCAACAGTTACAAACCATTTCCTGCAGGTATAAAATGGCTGTATTAAGCTATAGTGGTGTACTGATAATCGGAAACATTGATTAAATCGAGTCCGATCCAATAATCGATTTTGCTGATGAAAGATCGATTATGTTCAATTGTATTGTAAACCTCTTCTAACTTGAAGCAGAAGCAACATCTGCATCGACATTATAAATTTGGTGGTTAATATAAAAACGGAATTGTTTGTGGTACAAAAGCGGAATTGCTTTTCGTTGTGTCACTTGTATTTGTTTCGTTTAATACATACATCTGCATTTTGTATCAACCGAAACCGCCATATTTGAAAGCTAGTAAAATGAGGCCAGCAGAGTGTTTTTCGTGATAAATTATAATTAATATGCTATGTTATAGTGATTGGAGCATTCAAATGGGGGTAATTAATACCTAAACTGTGAGGTCATCAAGTTTCGAGTCAAAACAGAGATATAACTGAACCCTTCCTTCCGCCTAGATTTCGTAAACGAGTATATTTTCATCAGTCGGCACAATTACATCAGATAACTCGGCCGACCTCTTATGTTGCAAGAATAGGTCATTGAAACTGAAAATTGATTGGTTATGGATTTCTGATTATCGATCTGGAATATTTGAGATTCCCAGCACTATAATAAGCAAGTCAAGTTAACAAAATTATTTCTAAATATATGTTTTCATTGATGAAGATCTTTTGGAGTTCCTCTAATCTTTAAATGACATTTGCATTAAAAGCTGTTAATACGTTGAACATGTTTTATGTTTTCAAATTTTTTTCTTTAATACATGTACATGTGTAACTCTACTTAGAAATGTCTATGAATTAATTTGTGCAGTTAGTTATCTTTCACGGAATATTTTCACACTTGTAGAGGGTTTATAAAGCAGGTCTCCTTCACCTTCCCCTCGAAAACAAAAACAAGAAGAGTATGAGTAGTGCTGCCACCGTTTATTTATTATTTTGTACAGGCTTCACTCGTCGGTCGTATTCCTCGTGTAGATGAGCTGGGAGTGATGCTTCGAGATCAGTCGGATCATCCCTGCAAAGACAAAATGCGATACATTTTTACAACATATGCAAATATTGACCAGGTCTAGGGCTGGGGTCAAACCATAAGCAGCCCAAGGCAAAAGAAATATTCAGTATAAATTAACTTATTCACCCCTGAAATGTCATAATGCAAAATTCCAACCTTTGAATTGGAAGAGTTCAAATGTATCTTATGGGTGAATGAGTAGATGAAATTCAATGAGCATGTATATCTTTGAATGCATTCAGAGAGTTTTAGATCAAGATCTGTTGTCAAACTACCTTCTGTTTGTATTCAAATGACTTTCATATACAGGTTTTCATTTTGTACTGTCATATTCTGTACACGATAGTCATCACGATGTGTAAGGTTATTGACATTTAATCATACAGTACATCTCGGTGCATATGCTGAAGTAAATTTTAATATTTTCGACTTCAAATTGGATCCATTAAACGAAATCAGAGGCATTCAATTTCCTCCGACAAATTTGGACACTACTACTAATCTAAAATATATTTTCGTAGTAAGTACATGTTATGTACTGAAAACTTTCAAAGGACAATTGATTAGATTATTCGCTAGTCCCAATTCAAAGTTACAAGTCAAAGATTTCCTAAAGGAAAAATCTCCATCACAAAACTTCAAAAATAACCAACTGTTGGGGACAAAAATAACTACTGTCACAAAGATATTAGATATGGTGATGTTTTAGGAAAATCCTGCAAATAACTATACTAGATATTTGTATTTTACGCAGTTTTCAGAAGTATATGCAGTACTTGGCATATTTTTTTCACAAGTCCAAATTAAAGGACCTGTAAGGCGATTCACTTGTCCTTGCTGAATAGTCTGAAGGATTTGGGCAGCTGCTAGTGACAAATCCTGTCCAGGTGTCAGGCAGTTGAAATTATGCAACCCTAAGAAAGGATTTAATATTTATCTTCATATCTGAAGTGCAGCATTTGATTTTCGGTATACAAATTAGAGATCTATGTACATCGCAAGGGGAGATAATCTGGTGTTTAGGCAAAACTGTCATATAATCACGATCACCATGAAGTGTAAGATCGGCGAGTGAAACTATTTAATCACACAGTAATTGCCTTGTCATTTTAAAGGTTCAACTGAATAACATTTCATAATACTCGACTCAGATGCATCAAATAAATTTCTTCAGACAGAAACCAAACTTTTATCCTCCTTCAACTTCTTCAATAATGCCTGATGGAAATTATAAATAAAATCGTGAATCTTTCGAGATTAAAATTTTAAAAATAATCAGGTGTTTATTGTTAAGGCAATACCGTCATATAATCACGGTCACCATGAAGTGTAAGATCGGCGAGTGAAACTATTTAATCACACAGTAATTGCCTTGGTATTTAAAAGTTCAACTTAACCTACATTTCATTATTCTCAACTTAGAACTCAATGTTATTGAAATTAATTTCTTAAGATACAAAACCCCAATATTTTTTTTTAATCTGTCAATAATGTTTGATGGAAACAAATAAAAAATCTTACTGGTTTAAACATCCTCGAAACAAGGGCAGATAATCGGGAGTTTAGGCAATACTGTCATATAATCACGGTCACCATGAAGTGTAAGATCGGCGAGTGAAACTATTTAATCACACAGTAATTGCCTTGGTCATGTAAAAGGTTCAACCTAATAACATTATTCTCAAATTAGATCTCAATGCTGTCACGAAAAAAAATCCTCATTTCTTTAACCGAGTGTTCACCCCTGTAATTTCATAATGAACTATTCCATCCTTTCAATTGGAAGAGCTCAAATATATCTTTAGGGGTGAATGAGTTATTAATAATGTTTGATGGAAATAAATAAAAAATCTTCAAAGATTACAATTATAAAATACATCCTCAAAACAAAGGCAAATCATTATAGATATAATCTGGTGTTTAGGCAGTACCATCATATAATCACGGTCACCATGAAGTGTAAGATCGGCGAGTGAAACTATTTAATCACACAGTACTAATTTAACCATCTTGAATGTTTCATGAATAAATCAGGATCCTAGTTACCTTACAGATCATACGTATATACATGCCTGGCATTAATTAATCGCATTATATCTGGAATTTATAACCTTTACTCCATAAAAAATAATGGTTTAAACTGAACTATATCAATAAACCATTGAATTTTGGGATGAAAAGATATTTCTGTAAGCAAACAAAAGTTGTGGTTTCAACAATTAAAGAAATGCATACTACAGTTTATAAATACTTATTACAAAAGTGTAAGTCTTGTAAAATAAAAAGTACCGTCATATAATCACGATCACCATGAAGTGTAAGATCGGCGAGTGAATTTATTTAATCATACAGTACCACCAAGTTATATTGGACTCTAAAATTATTTACTGCAGAAACAAATTTTCAAAAATAGCATATAATCAGGGTGCAAATTCAGACTATTTAAAAAATATATAATATGGTATGCAGAAAGCCTACTGTGCTTGTGCTTCAGGGAAATTCCTTCTTTCCCAGGTCTTAACCACTTTTTTTAAAAACAAGAATGATTGCAAAAAGATAAGAAACTGCTGGGAATGAATTCTAAAACCATATATGTGAAGTCTTTTATCAAGGTTTATACACCCAAAAACCAAGGGCAGATAATCAGTGTGGTTCTGTCATATAATCACGATCACCATGAAGTGTAAGATCGGCGAGTGAAATTATTTAATCATACAGTACCAAGTCATCTTAACACTTGACACTTTAGGTATTAATAGGATGTTTGGGGAATATCTTGATAGGTAGGAAATATATTTTTCATTCATTCTACGCATTTTTTCCCCACTTTTTTTGGAACAGATGTAATGATGCAGTGGATATTTATATGGGAAGAAATCAGAGTACCCCCAGAAAGCCCACATGATCAGGCAGTATCCGTTATCTGTTTACCGACAATTTGACCTCTCAAAATATTATTGTCAACAACATATATATTCTAGTGATCGACTCTTCGTGCGATTAAAATTTGACCTCTCAAAGTGTTGAAAAAACTTAAGAATTTGATGAGAAAGTAAACCAAAATTATAATAGTAATACAGGAAATATCAGTCTAAGCTGCATGCCATCGTGATTAAAGGGAGATAATCGGGGGGTGTTAGAAGTACTGTCATATAGTCACAATCACCATGATGTGTAAGATCGGCGAGTGAAATTATTTAATCATACAGTACCAAGTAATTCCAAAGATCAGATTGGGAAGGTTATTATGCCCAAGAAATATACATAATATGACTTTAAAACTACAAACAAAGAAATGACACTTGACATTTAGAAAACACAGAAGTCAAAATCACATTTCCCCAGAAATCTTTAGGGTCAAAACTTGCGCCAAAATAGACATTTCCTTATAAACCAGAGAGTAAATGCTCACTTTGGGGAGTCAAACCCATATGATGAAAGACCTACTGAAATCCCTGCTACTAAGTGATTATATTTGAACTCACATTGAACTTTAGAGAATTGTATTACCCCTTTGAAAGGACAATCTAGGCAACTAATATTGAATTTTTAAAAACATTAAACGGTCAAAAAAAGGATGATATTCCCATGCTAAGATGACTAGTGTAATCAAATTATATCAGAATGTACACAGGGACTGGAGCAGATAATAGACCAAAGCTATACAGGCATTATCAAGCCCAGCCTCAGTTGCCAATGATTAAAGGGAGATAATTAGATGCTAAAGTACTGTCATATAATCACGATCACCATGAAGTGTAAGATCGGCGAGTGAAACTATTTAATCATACAGTACTTCCATTTTTTGTTTAAAAAAATAAACACACAAAAATAATCTTTAAAAGTTTTGCAAATATGAGAGATATTTTAACTCTTCTATAGTCAATTCATAGTTCCATTTCTGGGTTTTAGACCATCTAAAATGAATCAAAATTCTAAATGTAAGATTTTTTTACAACAGAAAGTTCTTGGTATAAGATTCTAAACGACATTGTTCTTTATGTAATAAAGCAAGCAAAACTTTTAAAATTTGTTGGTAAATATTCCACTTTTAATGGAATCAAGAGGACCATATAAATGATATCACTTTCATCATAAATCAGGACATTTACAACAACTGTTTTTACTTTTTACTTTTCTATTTGAGTATTTACAACTTGTTCAATATTAATGCAGTAAAATAATTTTTGTATCAAAAATGAAGGCAAATAATCTTAAATTAGTGTACTTTCATATAATCACAATCACCATGACAAGTAAGATCGGCGAGTGAAATATATTTAATCATACAGTACATTTCTTGCAGTAAAATTTGAAATATGTGGGAAAATCTGTTCACAATGCTTTTTGATGAAAGTATCTAAATACTGTTCTACACTTAATGTAATTCTCGACAAACAATATTGCCGGATTTTCCAATTACATGGGTAGGTAGGTGTGCTCAACTTCTCATTTTGCTGTATATTTTCCTATACATAGCTTGGCAATGTTTCACACTCGCATTTCTCAGCTAGAATTGGCCAAAGAAGTTCTAAAAACCTTGTACTAACTGGGAAAGCAGAAACAATAATTGCTTTGTCCTTAACAGGCAAACAAAATCTCTACAAAATCATTAAAACTTAGGCACATTAAGGACAACGAAAGGCTATTGGTATTTTTTTACAAGTTGTACACAAACAAAATTAATTTGTTTCTGATTGACAAGTTCAGGTATATGAAGGACAAAGGAAACAACCAGTAAAACATCTATGACTACCACGTTTTGTTTGGAGATGGGGGTTGGTGGGGAGTGTAACCTTCACAGTATTTAACAAGAATTTACATTAAAACAGTAACCTATGACAGATAGAAGTTATATGGAATCCAGGGGATTTGTTTGATTTTTGATTGAGACAGCCTTTGTCATATGGTTACTGAGGAATACAATTCAACTGGTTTCCAACAAACAGCAGTGTCTGGCGTAACACCTACCATCCTTGTGAAGCTCACGAAGGGCAGCCTTGGCCAGGGAGCCACGGATCTTCATCCTCTCAGACACTACTGAAGGAGTGATAAGTTTGTAGTTGGGCACCTCGGTCTTGAATTTGTCGTATGTTGCCTTGTCAAACAGAATCAGATTGTTCAACTTGTCCCTGACTTTTCCCTTGGACCACTTCTATAATGTAGAACAAACAATACACGGTTTAAGAAAAGTCTACACCAATGGAATAGCATCTTTTTGAACTCATTCACCCCTAAAATTCATAATGAACTATGCCAACCTTTGAATTGAAAGAGTTCAAATGTGTCGTCAGGGGTGAATGAGTTCACTCTCAAGTGTAAAAAGAACAGATCAGGCATGTACAATTTCGCTAGACTTTACTTGTAGATTGTAATAATATTGATCAGTTGATTTTAACAAACTATAAAACATTCCTGCTCGTGACAAAAAAACAATATAACTCTCTGAAAGCTTTAAATGCCATTCATTACGCAGGTAATTATCATTGTAGAATAAAATCAGGTTATGCTTTTAGGCAAAAATACAACCAAGATTTTAAGGTGAGGCTTCTGAACATCGTTTCCACACTTTTCTGCAACAATTTCTTTTTGTTTCCATGTAACAGAGATTTCTGCTATGCATCTATGTTAGTTACTTCCCTACAGTATTGTCCTCATTTCACACAATTTATCAAACAAACCTTCTTCTTGGCCTTGCCGCCACCTCCCCCTTCCTTCTTCTTGACTGGGGCTTTGCCCTTGGCACCTGCTTTAGGGTCCGGCTTCTTGGCTCCCTGCACAAAACAATTTTACTGCATGGTAGATTTTATATTCAAATGCCTTTCATCTTTAAGTAAAAACATGTCTGATGGAAATTGAAATTCAGACTCGGATAATCTGTCGACTTAAATTTCCTGCATATTACCGAATTATGGGATATGGGGGTTTCTCAATCCTGGATATTTGGATGGTATGCTTAGCAAATGACTTTGCTATAGTAGCTTGAAGAACTTGATGGCGTATGCATTAATAACTAGTCGGTGTTCACAACAGATTCAGTCAGATTGAAAGGAAACAAATATATTTTAGATATGGGCCTCTGTAAAGATGAAATGAAATGGAAACAAAACATCCTTCAATACACATGAAACACGTTTCTGGAAGATATTTCAAATCATAAGAATACAGATTCAGGATTATTTTTTTTAATTGTGTTTAGCTCTATACAGGAATCCATGGAATGACACTTAACATATACCCAATGCTTCTAACAGGCCCAGTAGTAGTACACTCTGCCGATTGAGCTATGTAGCTCTAAAGACCTATCTGAAATATCATGTGATTTTCTTTTTTAAGGAAAATGAAAACAGTTGCTTTTAAAAGAAGATTTTGTCATTAGGGAGATAACAAAAGACATTAAATATAAGCATTCTTTTTGGAAAATAATGATGTAAAAAAATTGGAAATATAAATTACATTTATGAACGAGAGGCCCGATGGGCTTGAATTGCTCACCTGGTATTAATCTCACACTTTGTAATCTTAAAAGTGGACTAATATATACAGCTAGAGGTAAAATATCTGTTCGATTCATTAGAATCTATTAAATGATTTAAACATACGACACCCATGACCTTGAAAGTTAAACAAGGACATTAAGTTGAACAGAGTTTATAGCATTCCGTACCAGCATGCGTCTGGCCAAATATCATTACCCTGGACCTTTTGAATATTCTCTGGCCTATTAGTTATTGAAGAGAAGTTGTTTAAAGGTTTTTAATGTTTGACCCCTGTGGCCTTGAAAATAGGTGAAGGTCAATCATTTGAACAAACTTGGTAGCCCTTCATCCAAGCATGATACTGGCCAAATATCATCACCCTAGGCCTTATAGTTATTGAGAAGAAGTTGTTAAAAGGTTTTCAACATTTTTGACCCCTGTGACCTTGAAAATGGGTAAAGGTCATTTGTTTGAACAAACTTGGTAGCCCTTTATCCCAGCATGCTCCTGGCCAAATATTATCATCCAGGGCTGTTTGGTTATTGAGAAGTTGTTTAATTTTGATTTCCTAATCCTGTTAAAATGTTGCGTACCAAGACGAACAAGTCTAACAGTAAAATTTTTGCTTTAACCGCTAGATGTCGCACTACCTCCGCTTTCGGTTTCGAAGTGTCGGGAGAGCATCTTTGAATGGAATCAATGTGCAGAAGCTTTATGAAGCCAAGAGGGTAAGAAAAGTTTTAACGACATGGAAAACAGAGCAGCCATGGTTAAAATACAATGACAGTAAAGAGATCATGTTTTGCGAATTTGATGGGATCAAGAGGACATCGGTTCATTTTCCATCGGGAACAGTAATTTTGCAGGGACCGACATTATGATAAAAACCCTATGTAATTTAAAATATTTACAAACCATTTAAGTTGTTTTTTATTTTCTTTCAATATTTTGTACATTTATTTGGGCCAGTGAAAATTAGTTGGGGCCACTTGTATTCTGAATTCTTTCAGCCCCGAAGCGCCTGTGGCTTTAGAAGTTTTCGTGCAGACTGTAGTAGATTTTTTTTGTCGGCACCTCATAAATCTCAGATACCAAACGGTGTCGGAAAATTACACGTGTTTATATTGCAGTGCGCTCTGGCCTCACACCAGATAATTATATGTCAAAATGTCCAAGTCTGGAGGGCCTAAGGAAACTAGGGCTAGTGACTAGGTATATACATGAATTCCAATTCATCCCATTGGAAGGTTATAAGTTCCACCAGATGTGAAATTACGGCGTACGATATAGAGTTCAATTAATAACAAATGACAGTTCAAATTAACTCAAAAGTGAAGTGGACTTAAGGAAGTTATGTTCATGTGCGGAGATCTGGATACAACACGTGTGAATATTTTCCGCATTTGCATTACCATATTAAACTCGTTTTGGTTGTAAAGCAGGCGCATTAATGCGACACTATAACAAAATATATTGAGATTATTGTATCTGTCTATGTATGCGTCAGAAAATCAGTTTAATTAACTAAATTTTGTTAAAATAACTCGTCTAGAAATTACCAACCATTTTGATGAGAGCACATGTGAGAAAGAGGCCTTAACCAGCATGCAAAGCGCCGAACTTCCGTTATCGTTTAAATCATTGACAATACATATTTTGTGTGTTTTGTTGCATTATAATTCCTTTTCCATCAGAAACGCGTAAAATTTGCAACTAATCAAATGAAAACATTTCAGTTGGTTTTTCTCTAAAATGCTCAATCTTACATACATTATTTTTTTAAAGAGATAAGCGATATGGGCAGTAAAAGCGCGCAGGAAAAACCAATTTCAATGGAGAAAAATGACGTAAGTCCAAAGTGTAGTGGATATTTATTGCGTCTCTTTCTTTATGTACGCAAATTTGGCAGATTTATTAGATTGTTGCTTAAAAACTGGAACATCACAGACATTCACAACAACCAGTTACATTGAAAATGACACTGTTCTTTTGTAGAAACATACATTCATGTCTGTCATACAATTTTCTATTATATTTAGTATTTTCTATTTTATGACGCCAGCACACTTATTAATATATCTTCCTCTCGCAAAACTTATGACATCAGCAAAACGTGTACATTTCTTGAATAATCAAATAGATCAACATACGGATCTGTCATCCCCTGTGATTTGGTAATGTGGATATGACAATCAGGTTATGCTTGCTACTTTCACTTTCGCAATGATTTACTAATGTTACGACCAACATTTATGTCGTAGATTTCATAGAAACATGTACTAAAATGTTACTAATGTCACCCTGGTTATTAAGTCATGACAAATATGGTGTAACATTTTAAATTTGTGACACATGATTTTGCCAGAATTAAACATGTTATATACATTAGAAACTAAACTAAACAATTTATACTATGTAATTTATAATCACTCTTGTTGCCATGTACTATGTATTGGAAAAAAATTGATTCCGGTGAAGAAGATTGTCTAACCCTGTACTAGAAATAAACATAAGTTAATTATGAGAAATGCAGCATAACTGTATTGGGTCAATTGCAGGTGACCAGGTAGCTCATACAGTTGGTTAGGGCGTCCGTCTAAGAGTTTTGAGGGTCCTGGGTTCGAATCCCAGTGCTGCTGTTGCTTTTCTCCCGTTAAATTTGGTACCCAACCAAAGTAAACACACAGAAGGTGGTATAATATAGAGTCATGTGTGTCATCAGGGTAAAAGGAAGGAGGAACTGAACTGATTCAATTGCCGGTGACTAGTTAGTTCAATCGGTTAGAACACATCCTCAATATCTAGGGGTTACGCTCACTTTCGCTCTCTGCACTTAGTGGAATATGTCATGACAAAATTGAAGGCACGGAGATAGCTGTTTGATTGGTCACAGGTAAACAAAACTGACCAATCGCTAGGCTGATACCTGTCCTTTGAAGATTACAAAGGAGAGACGCCCAACTTCAAAGCCCGTTAATTTTTACTGTTATATGACCGCAAAATTCTTTTGATGTACATCAAAGGATCAAACTAGTCTTCTTGTCTCATCTTCAAGGTGCTGCACACTTAGCCTTCAATTTTTCTATGACATATTCCAGGGGTTTAGAGAGCGAAAGTAAGCGTAACCCCTTGAGAGCAAAAGTGAACATATCGAGGATGGTTAGAACATTGGTATAGAGATTCTTGGCTTGGATCTGGATCTGTTCATTGCATTTCTCTTTCTCCTGTTACTGAAATATGTGTGAATATACAGACATAGTAAAACCTGTAAGCCTATATAGCTATGTAACCAAGGCATAAACAATGTGTGTTTGTATTGCAAAAGAACTGGATTTCAAGGGGAAATGTGTCCCTGGGCAATCGTCATTACTTTGGAGAAAAAAACAAAAATTGTTGTCCTTTATTTTGACAAGAAATTTGCAAACAATTTAGGCATTTTTCTCACAAATTTTATTACATAATTTGGTCATGGAAAATTTGAAATTTTTGAAAAAATTTAAGAGGCTTATAGAAATTTTATCAAGAATTGTTTTAATTTGGAACTTTAATTGCCAGTTCTAAAGACCGATTAATTTTGGGAAAAAGAAATTATATCAAAGCATTAAGGCTGTTGATCATGAGTGAGTAATGTTTTAATGGGACAACAAAAACATGGAAAATAATCAGGGATTTTTAGAAAACAAAAAGAGAAAATTATACATTTTATGATATAAATTTATAATCTATTTCTTACATTTTGTTTCCTTTACAGAAACCAGACTCATCACAAACTTTGCAAATGCAGCTTAACAATGGAAGAAAAATGATTGTGTTCTGAGGAATGTAAAAACCATTCATCTGATAAGAGAAAATATTTCAAAATGTGAAAAAAATAACACGATGCAAAAATAACTGAATTTATATAAAATAATTTGGTGACAGTGAAACAAAAAGATGGCTGATAACTTTCAAGACATCCTTTATGAAATTGTACATGGTTTACAAGATGGAATATTAGGAACACTGAAGATTCCAAAACTAGGAAAAGCTGAGAGCGAGGAGGTAAAGAAGGATCAAGAGCCGATGACAACCTTGGCAAGACGTAGAGCCGAGCGAAATAAAGACAAAGAAACGGTTCAAATCAAAGAAAGGTGAAACGTTATATTTGTCTAAACTGCACAGTTTAAAAAACTGCTCGGTCCAAAATAAAGAAAAGTGAAATGTTGAATTTGTTTTTCGGTTTATTGATCTCGGGATTTGTTAGTGTAGCGGAACTAGACAGGGTTGATTATCGGTAGCTCAATTTGTAGGACGTTCGTCTAAAGTTCAGCTAGAGGATCCCGGGAATACCATCGCAATTACATTGCTCTTTCTAAATTGCCTAATGCAAAATTTGTATGCTTGCCAATTAACCCTTGTTTCAAGTATTGGGAATACGCTTGGAAAATGTATACCCGAACCTAGGATGTAAATAGTTTTGTCATTTATCAGATTCCAGTTTCTTCCATAATTAACAAATGTTAACTGTGTCCAAAGTTGTTGGGGATCATGAGTGACTTTTTTAATCAAAAATATTATTTTAATCGGAAAAATATGATAAATCAATTTTTGAATTTCATTGCATGTTGATTTATTTTAGGTAATATGATCTTAAATTATTAATTAAGATGATGTTTATTTCTAGTTGGAAAGCAAATGAGTAGGATATTGATAAAAAAATCATGGATGACTGAATATTTCAGAGAACCGAAGATCATACAGAGAATAATAATGTGCTGTGCTTGGAACGGTGGCATATTCTTGGTATGTACTGCACGTTAGGGAAATTAGCAGAATAAGCTCAGAAATCTGCGAAAATATGTTTAATTATATTAATGGTTACCATTTTTTTTTAACAAGAACATATCTTTTAGGGTGACTAACCTGGGTAGCGTTCCCCATTTTGCCAAACTTTAAATTTGTTTATGCAGAAAAGTTATCCAGATCCTGTGGGCTGACCTAGATACATATTATGCATTATTGTAATTATCAATTTCATGTCATCAGATTTTTTCCCCATTTTTTTGACATCATATACCGGTACATAAATTGGGATGTACGATAACAATTTCTTACTCCCCTGGCCCCTGGACTGATCTATCACACACGTATGGGAATTAGAAAAGAATCTTACATTTACTTCACCGATTCTTATATTTATGTAGTTCTTAATCCACAGTCCACAACAACTCCTTCATTTCCTGAGATGTAACATGACTATGGCACAAAATAAAATAATCAAGATACCGATTTACCAAATGAAGATTATTTATACATCTCTCTGGTCAGAAAAAAATTTTGATTTTTTTTCTCAAAATCTTTTGTTTTGTTGAAAAATATTTTTGTTTTTAAACTTTCCTTCCAGAATTCGTTGAAAGTTTAAAACATATACATGACATCTTCCATTTTTTGAAAGCCTTTTGCTTTCATACGGAATTGTATCTCTTTTCTCTATATTATTTCCCACATTTAGTGTTAAAAAACGTGATTCTATACGAGAGACAAATACTGTAAACATACTATTTTAGCAGATTTCAAATCCAAAATATTGCTTAATAATGATTGTGCCAACTGAATTTTGGATATACATTGTTCTCTATATTGCATATTCATGTACATGTATTGTGGGTGGCCAATTAATCGATGCGCTAATTCGATTTGTTCATATATTAACTTCGAGTGCACTAAAATAATTTTGCGTCGTGTGCTGTTGTCAAAATTTTACCTCCTGTAAAGCTAGCTTTTCATGTGTACGGACCCTTTCGGATTATGGCCAAAATTTTATTCTCGAACCAAAGAAATCTTCTTTCTTTTGTACAAATGTGAAGCTCACATAGCCCACTTCATCATGCTTATACCAATTTTAGTACAGTTTTTATTTTTATAATTTTTTTACATATCATTATACAGGGGTTAGCCATTTAACAAAAATATCACCCATGGCCACAACCCTCTACTGTACACTGCTACCTAGGATATAGCGATCAATAGTTTTAAATGTCCATGTGACTGTAAACATATAAATAACACAAAACACGAAGAGCCCCAAGATGGGCGAAAGCACTAGCCAATTATAGTCTTCATGTTTTATTTTATTTATATTTTTACCGTCACATGGACATTTAAAACTATTTATTGCTATATATTTACATTTGCCCCCGCGCCGTCCCATTACAACAGTGTTAGAGGGCAAGTGTAATTATATAGGCTCTAATTACAACTGCTCAACTATAATTACAACTGCCTGTTTCAGGTGTAGGAATATGTAAACAAACAAAATGGCCGCCTGAAATGTATTTTGAAGCAGGGCAAATGGTTTTTGTAGGAATGTGTCTTAAAAAAGAAAAATATGTAAATATAAAAAATATCTGGTTGTCTGGATGTAATTATTGTTGATATAATTACAAGTGGCCTCTGGCAAATCTACCATAGCGGGTTTTATGGAATTTGGCAGAAGCCACTTGTAACTATATCAACAATAATTACATCCAGACAAACAGTTATTGTTTAAATAATACATGTGATACGGGACGAAGACTTGTAAATGGAAATGGAAAACTCCTGAAGAGCTCGAAGTTAGGCGAAAGCGCTAGCCAATTATAGTCTTCCTATTTTGTTTTATTTATACCAGGGTACGTATATATGATAAGTATAAGTTGTAAAAACTTGTTTCATAATTACATTGTAAAATAGATAAAGTTAATATTTTATATATGAAGTGGAAACTTTTGTACCAATCACAAGACTTCCAGTGTCGTACAGATATCCGAACAGGAATTTGAGATCATCAACAATCAAATGTCCTCTTATGAATGTAGTTTTGATGTTTTTATTTTTCAGATGAGCATCTTCCTATTCAATCACATGCTACTACCCATTGTTCAGTTACTCATTGCTGGAATCTTTGGTAAGGTTTTAGTAGTTCTATATATAGGATCTTACATGAGTTTCCATTTCATATGAGATTTATGAAACTCATCACAAATTTTTCATTTGAGCTTGCCAGAGGTTCGCTAAATTGAAAAAATCTTAGTCTTGTTTCATAAATTTCATATGAAATGAAAACGAGTGTAAGATCCTTTTGATCACATAATCAAGATTTGGGGCATTTATTTGTGTAAAGCGACAATTTTCATACAACCTTGAAATGTAAAAAGACGCCATTTTGACTCTGGTGCATAAGTCTGTGACGTCATGTAGTTGTCCTAGGCGTGACGTCACAATGGAAACTTACAACCAATCACAGGGCTGATAGGTCATATTACATTGGTTAATGCGCCAAAAAATATGCCATGTGTACAATATTCACTGGATAACACCACCGTAAATTATGTGATGAAAAGATTTATAAACTATAACTCATTGTTCATTTGATAATAATTGGAAATCCTTGGTAAGGTTTTAGTAGTTCTATAAAGATTTACTCTTCCACTCCTTTATAACTTTAGTGGGCTCATTCATGTATTGATCTGGGCAAGTCCATTATGGTCTACAGTGTTGAAAGGGTTAATAAACTGTTACCCATTGTTCAGCTGATCATAGCTGGAATCTTTGGTAATTAAGGCTTTAGTAGTTTTTATACAGATTTATAAACTATTAGCAGCAATTGTGTGTAAAATTGGCACCACATTTAATTTAACCCTTCCACCCCTATGTAACTTTAGTAAACTCTTCCATGCTTTTATCTGGATGAGTCCATTATGGTCTACAGTGGTGAAAGGGTTAAGGATCCCCATACCATTGCCAAAAACTGTAATTATGAAATTTGCTTGGCCAACATGGCATTATGGCTTTATAAAAATAGATCTGAAAGAAACCCATACTTTTAAGTCTTTTGCAGAAATTTTATGAAAAATAATGAAGATGAAACAATTTTCAAAAAAGTCAACAGTGCTGAGAGATAAAATGCAGCAGCTGAAGCCTGTGATCGGGATTTGAATGCTGGACATTTAATCACAAATTCAGTTGATCTAATAAAATGAGTAGCCATAGTTCCCTGGCCAAGACAACAACTACAGTTACATTCAAAAATGAAATTAAGAGGAGATAACCCTTGTATTGATAAATGAAATTAAGGGGAATTTACTCTTGTATTGAAAATGAATTAAAGGGGAGGTTACTCTTGTATTGTTAATGAAATAAAGGGGAGGTTACTCTTGTATTGTAAATGAAATAAAGGGGAGGTTGCTCTTGTATTGAAAATGAAATAAAGGGGAGATTACTCTTGTATAGAAAATCTTCAATGGAATTCTCTAGTATGTTGCATTGCCTGCAGTGGGACATGGATCCTTAATTTCTTATATAAATATATGTTAACCCTTTCACCACTGAAGACCATAATGGACTCATCCAGATTAATGCATGGTAGAGTCTACTTAAGTTGCTTAGGGGTTAAAGCAAATGCTTTCCAGTTAATTTGCTTTTAAGATATTGTAAAGAAATATCAGGATATTATATATTGTAAATTTACATTGTTTTTAATGCTCTCTCGGACTCGCACGGTAGTCTAGTGGTAGGACGCCGGGCTCGGACCGAAGGGTGGCAGGTTCGTATCATGTTATGGCACTGTGTTGTATCTTGAACACGATAGGTATACCCTAACTTGTCCCGTATTTATGATTTGCTGTGTTTTGTAGGTAGATCGGAGAACACTGTCTGGGGATGGATTGGACCTATTCTCTCCTGGACATTTAGTGCTCTTTGGATCCTTCCGATATTTGTCCTCAGCAAGGTCGTCAACAGTCTTTGGTTTCAGGTAGATAAACGATACATATGCACATACAGAATTTGCCGCTTCCCGACCGTCTCACTGAAAAAATGACAACAATTCCAACCCTTTTTTTTTCTTTTTTTTTTCTTCTGATAAATGATTTCTTAAAGAAATTCAACATTTCTAGAGGTAAACAAAAATTCCCTTCCTACCCACTACAAAAAATGGTGTGTTAGGAAAACTGCAAAAAACTTTTTTTTTAGGGATGGCCTTGGATGTACCACGTATATACCGGTAGATATAGATGAAACTAAAGACAAACTGTGAATATAAAATACAACATGTTTTGCTTTGTTGACAAGTATCCTTATGAATTAAATGGTTACAGACAATTTAAATTGCGTTCATATCATATTCTCAATTTGCTGTTAAAATGGATAAAACACATTAAAATATTTCATCGTTTTAAAATACTGCAGCTGTCTTTTAATGTATAAAAGAATACCACTGTGATAGGATTACTGAATGAATAAGAAGAACTAAATAGGAAAAACATTTCACTGTGTTAAAATATCATGAACTGACCTCTTCTCCTCGTAATTCTACACTGTAAACATCAGGGCTGCAACAATACATTTAAAACATGAGGATGCAATACGTATCACGATACTGTGGTCACGATACGATACGTATCACAATACTGTGGTCACGATACGATACGTATCACGATACTGTGGTCACGATACGATACGTATCACGATACTGTGGTCACGATACGATACTGTGGTGAAGATACGATACTGTGGTCACGATACTGTGGTCATGATACGATACTGTGGTCACGATACAATGCCTATCACGATACTGTGGTCAGGATACAATGCCTTTCACGATACTGTGGTCATGATACGATACTGTGGTCATAATACGATACTGTGGTCATGATACGATACTGTGGTCACGATACGTATCATGATACTGTGGTCACGATACGATACGTAACACGATACTGTGGTCATGATACAATACTGTGGTCACGATACGATACGTATCATGATACTGTGGTCACGATACAATGCCTATCACGATACTGTGGTCATGATACAATGCCTATCACGATACTGTGGTCATGATACGATACTGTGGACATGATACGATACTGTGGTCATGATACGATACTGTGGTCATGATACGATATTGTGGTCATGATATGATATTGTGGTCATGATACGATATGTATCACTATACATATAAGTAACAGTAGAAGCAAATAAAAAAGATATGTTTCAAATTTTTAATGGCAATATTACAACTGGAAAAAGACTTGGTCCAAAATGGGCATGACTTGAGAGTTTCACACCTGTCATGAGGTGCATGCCGAGCTGGAGTTTTCACTCCCCATGTTGGATCCTATTAGAGTAGACTAAATTCAGAAACGACAAAATTCTGGTAACCTCATAAGAAAGATTGTGTATTGTACCGTCTTCAAAATATTGCTATATGTAGTCGCCTCACAATATATCATTGCAGCCCTAGCAAAAATATTAATTACCTGACAAACACGCAAAAATAGACCTGTGCCAATTCAGAGCTGTCTACTGTATCACCTGCCTGGCGTATACGACAGGCTCTTACGTGGCAGTGTCACACTTTTGAAAAACATAACCACCCCTAGCAACCGTTACCAGGGTAAACTAGGCAGTGAAGTAACCAACAGAACTGTTCTGGGCAATTTGCTAAAATGTTGTGAATATAATCTTTAAAAGCTCGCCACTTAGCCAAACAAAATACATTTGGTGTTTCCAGTAAACTTACCCACCCTAATTTTTTGTGCCTACCCAAATTTGTTTAAGGCAATTTTCATAGAATCACCATTAAAGTCAAGAACACTCTCCTAAATAAACCACATAAAAATAGTTTTAAAAATAAAACTTGTTACCTACACCTGTCCTAATGACCCTAAATTTTTCCAACAAATGTGTTACAGGAAACATACATATTTGTTTGTCTGGCCTTATAAGATCCACCATAATAGCTAAACCTACATGTAGGACTTTCTGTTTAGAGGTAATTGACATTACTGTTTAGAGGTAATTGACATTACTTTTTAGAGGTAATTGACATTACTGTTTAGAAGTAATTGACATTACTGTTTAGAGGTAATTGACATTACTGTTAAGAGGTAATTCACATTACCGTTTAGAGGTAATTGACATTACTGTTTAGAGGTAATTAACATTACCGTTAAGAGGTAATTGACATTACTGTTTAGAGGTAATTAACATTACTGTTTAGCGGTAATTGACATCACTGTTTAGAGGTAATTAACATTACTGTTTAGAGGTAATTGACACTACTGTTTAGAGATAATTGGACTTTCTGTTTAGAGGTAATTGACATTACTGTTTAGAAGTAATTGACATTACTGTTTAGAGCTAATTGACATTACTGTTTAGAGGTAATTAACATTACTGTTTAGAGATAATTGGACTTTCTGTTTAGAGGTAATTGACATTACTGTGGTTTGGTTTGCCAGGATATAGCTGATGCAGCCTATTTCCAGTACAGAGGGAAACCCAAACAGTTCAACATCAGCAGCCTTATAGCCGACATTAGCTTCAGCATGCTTCTCCAGGCCTTATTTCTTATACAGGTAAAGCATGATTTGGTTTGGTTTTTGTTTGTGTTTTAAGTCCTATTAACACGATAACTGTTATGTATAGAGACTAGCCTATATCCGGATTATTATCCTGAATGTAGTCACCCCCTAACGTTTTCTGCATGGTTCCGGTTTATACTACACATGTTTGTAAAAGTGCCTGGAGCCCGCCATTAAAGATGCTTATAGCAGTTGTGTATTCAATTAAACCTGTTTATATATATGGCCGCGGTGCACGTGGCCAAGTGGATGCGGTGCCTGACATTCTGCTACCGCTAGCCCTCTGCCACTTGGTGGCGAGTTCCAGGCTTACGTGAGGCAGTCGCCAGGTACTGACCATGGTTTTTCTCCGGGAACTCCGACATTCCACCACCACCCAAACCTGGCACGTTCTTAATTGATTTTACCTGTGAAAGGAAAATATTTTACTGGGCAAAATGTTCCCTGTATATATTATATTATTACTATTATCACTATTGCAAAACATTTGCTCACAAATTCTTTTCAGAAGTAATATTCCATAAAATGCACATGTTGCGAAGATGGTTAGGTAATCCCCAAAAAGAAAAAAATATGATTTTTCATATTTGGTGTGTATCAATTTTTATCAGGGTCGTTTTGATTTATGCATAATGTTTGGTTTGTCCTCCCTAAAATGCAGCAATCTTTATTGCTCGTTAAGGCTCACCAGAAAGCTATATAAGGTTGTTAGAAATGATCCATCATTCTACACTGTAAAAATAATCATGTTTGTGGACTCAAATTTAAGCATATTATCAAATTTTAACAGATCAGCACATTGATTAATTTGCATAAGATATAAATGGCTAAAATTAAAACATCGCTACAGTATGTACAGTAAAACTTTGATGCATTGACCTTCAGGAGGCATGGTAGTCTAGTGGTAGGACGCCGGACTCGTGACCTAAGGGTTGCGTGTTCGAGTCACGGCACGGCACTGTGTTTATCTTTGAGCAAGATACTTTATTCCGCTTGTTCCAGTCTACTCAGCTGTAAATGAGTACGTGGTTGGGCAGTGCTAGAATTGTAGAATGCTAGCTGTTAGTGCCGAAATGTATGCTCCTCAGGGAGTTGAGAAAGGTATTGGCTGGTTGCAAAGACCCTATAACCACAGATAATAATTTGTGAACCGCTTTGAGACGACCTACGAACTAGGTTGTGATAAAGCGGTATAAATAAGAACCTCAAATTAGTATTATTCGTTTCATTTGCCACCTTGTTTACCTCCAACATATTTTGATGTCCCCTTTTCTCATTTTCTTGAGAATTATTAATAAATTTCCCTTAATATAACGCCAAACCCTTTTATAATACCAACATTTCTTTGGACAAACAGCGGCAGTATAACAAAGTTTTACTTACTTACTTTTAAAAATGATTACGAACAACATTTTTTGTGGTGATTTTTTTGGGTTATGACAAATGATACAGTATCAGATATCAGAAATCATCCTCGATAATCCAGGGTTACGCTCACTTATGCTCTCTGCACTCCTGGAATATTTCATAGCAAAACTGAAGGAGACAAGAAGACTAGTTCGATCCTTTGATGTACATCAAAAGAATCTCGAGGTCACATAACAGTAAAAAATTGACTAACTTTGAAGTCAGGTGTCACCCCTTTGTAACTTTCAAAGGACAGGTATCAGCTTAGCAATTGGTCTGGGTTTTTTTTACCCGAGACCAATCAAACAGCTTTCTTTGTGCCCTCAATTTTGCTATGCCATATTCCAGGGGTGCAGAGAGCGAAAGTGAACGTAACCCTGGGTTATCGAGGATGATCAGAAATAAGCTCAACATCATTGAAGCATATATTTGAAAAGTTGATGACACTTGTAAATGTGAGTTTTTATCCACACACAGGGTACGCTGTTTATGTTCCTGCCTATTCCTGCTGTGGGTCAAATTATCGGCCATATCCATATGGCCCTTCTGTACTCCCTGTACGCGTTCGAGTACAAGTGGCTGAATATGGGTAGGTACATCCAGAGGTTTGGCTCTACTCAACTCTCTGAACCCCTGAAAAACTGTCATGATAAGCCGGAGTAATTTTCTGTACTCTCTCTGTTTCATAATACAGTTTTCAGTGTCTTAAATTGGTAAAAATGATGTTAAAAAAAAAAATAAAAAAATATCATTCTTATTAAAAATTTAATGAATTAATTAATTATTATTCATAAATAATCAAATATTAATTGTGAGTTAAATATATTTAAGAACATGTTTGTGTATTATTATTTTTTAATTTCAAACAATTGATTAATTTATAACTCATAAAGGTTCTGGATGCTGTTTGGTTGAATTTTCTACCTGCCAACGTTATGGCTTGTCAAAAATGCAAAAGTTTATGGTATTTTAGGCTTACTTTAGATTATATGACAAAATACGTCAATTTTCGGGGTATTGGTGATCCTGATAATTTTATATGTGGTACTAGATTCTCAGAATTGCTTCTATTTCGTTTACTGGACTTTAAAGTTTGATGAAACTTGTTGCAGCTTGTTTAATAAAACATGACGTACCATTGAAAATTGTGTGGAATTTTCGTTGTCATGAAGGTTTTACAGGGAATTCGAAGTCAGTGGGAGTGTTGTTTTCATGGAATTTAACACACCTAAAAAATGATCTGCTTAAGAACTCACCTGTCTTCATATAGATTATTCCAGAATAGTGAATTTATTACAACAGAAAGTAGTGCATGTTACTAGACTACAAAAAACACACTAGTTACAACTGTAATTTTTGCTTCTGCCCTTCATCAGTCGAATTCTGGAAAAATGGTGTAGAATCACTTTTTCCTAATACCTGCAACTCTTGAAGGAAAGTAGCCGGAAAATTTTAATGCGTAACATTCTAAGATTTACAGGTATATTCCCCTTTGGAGATTTATCACCATAAATGTTTTTGCAGTTTCATCAAAATGTTTCTCAACTTTCCAGGTTGGGAGGTTCACAAGCGATTAAGTCACATTGAGAGCTACTGGCCGTATTTCTTAGGGTTTGGTCTGCCCATGGCTGTCATGACCTCCCTTCATCCCTCTGTTGTCATCAGGTATGTTTTAATTATCAAGTTGTCTCCCTTGTATGAAAGTTTATGGTGTATATTTCCCATTCTGTGTTTCAGTGAATGTATATTTCCCATTCGATGTTTCAGTAGATGTATATGGGAGGTTCACAAGCGATTAAGTCACATTGAGAGCTACTGGCCGTATTTCTTAGGGTTTGGTCTGCCCATGGCTGTCATGACCTCCCTTCATCCCTCTGTTGTCATCAGGTATGTTTTAATTATCAAGTTGTCTCCCTTGTATGAAAGTTTAGGGTGTATATTTCCCATTCTGTGTTTCAGTGAATGTATATTTACCATTTTTCAGTGGATGTATATTTCCCATTCTGTGTTTCTGTGTATGTTTATTTCCCATTCTATGTTTCAGTGGATGTATATTTCCCATTCTGTGTTTCTGTGTATGTTTATTTCCCATTCTATGTTTCAGTGGATGTATATTTCCCATTCTGTGTTTCTGTGTATGTTTATTTCCCATTCTATGTTTCAGTGGATGTATATTTCCCATTCTGTGTTTCTGTGTATGTTTATTTCCCATTCTATGTTTCAGTGGATGTATATTTCCCATTCTATGTTTCAGTCGATGTATATTTCCCATTCTGTGTTTCAGTGGATTTATATTTCCCATTCTGTGTTTCAGTGGATGTATATTTTCCATTCTATGTTTCAGTAGATGTATATTTCCCATTCTGTGCTTCAGTGGATGTATATTTCCCATTCTATGTTTCAGTTGATGTATATTTCCCATTCTTTGTTTCAGTGGATGTATATTTCCCATTCTGTGTTTCAGGGGATGTATATTTCCCATTATATGTTTCAGTGGATGTATATTTCCCATTCTGTGTTTCTGTGTATGTTTATTTCCCATTCTATGTTTCAGTGGATGTATATTTCCCATTCTATCTTTCAGTCGATGTATATTTCCCATTCTGTGTTTCAGTGGATTTATATTTCCCATTCTGTGTTTCAGTGGATGTATATTGATGTATATTTCCCATTCTGTGTTTCAGTGGATTTATATTTCCCATTCTGTGTTTCAGTGGATGTATATTGATGTATATTTCCCATTCTGTGTTTCAGTGGATTTATATTTCCCATTCTGTGTTTCAGTGGATGTATATTGATGTATATTTCCCATTCTGTGTTTCAGTGGATGTATATTGATGTATATTTCCCATTCTGTGTTTCAGTGGATGTACATTCTGTGTTTCAGTGGATGTATATTTTCCATTCTGTGTTTCAGTGGATGTATATTTCTCATTCTGTGTTTCAGTGGATGTATATTTCCCATTCTATGTTTCAGTAGATGTATATATCCCATTCTGTGTTTCAGTGGATGTATATTTCCCATTCTACGTTTCAGTAGATGTATATTTCCCATTCTATGTTTCAGTGGATGTATATTTCCCATTCTATGTTTCAGTAGATGTATATATCCCATTCTGTGTTTCAGTGGATGTATATTTCCCACTCTATGTTTCAGTGGATGTATATTTCCCATTCTATCTTTCAGTCGATGTATATTTCCCATTCTGTGTTTCAGTGGATTTATATTTCCCATTCTGTGTTTCAGTGGATGTATATTGATGTATATTTCCCATTCTGTGTTTCAGTGGATTTATATTTCCCATTCTGTGTTTCAGTGGATGTATATTGATGTATATTTCCCATTCTGTGTTTCAGTGGATTTATATTTCCCATTCTGTGTTTCAGTGGATGTATATTTTCCATTCTGTGTTTCAGTGAATGTATATTTCACATTCTATGTTTCAGTAGATGTATATTTCCCATTCTGAGTTTCAGTGGATGTATATTTCCCATTCTGTGTTTCTGTGTATGTTTATTTCCCATTCTATGTTTCAGTGGATGTATATTTCCCATTCTGTGTTTCAGTAGATGTATATTTCCCATTCTATGTTTCAGTAGATGTATATTTCCCATTCTGTGTTTGAGTGGATGTATATTTCCCATTCTGTTTTTTAGTGGATGTATATTTCCCATTCTGTGTTTCAGTGGATGTATATTTCCCATTCTATGTTTCAGTGGATGTATATTTCCCATTCTTTGTTTCAGTGGATGTATATTTCCCATTCTGTGTTTCAGTGAATGTATATTTACCATTCTGTGTTTCAGTGAATGTATATTTCCCCCTCTGTGTTTCAGTGGATGTTTATTTCCCATTCTTTGTTTCAGTAGATGTATATTTCCCATTCTATGTTTCAGTGGATGTATATTTCCCATTCTATGTTTCAGTGTGGATGTATATTTCCCATTCTATGTTTCAGTAGATGTATATATCCCATTCTGTGTTTCAGTGGATGTATATTTCCCATTCTGTGTTTCTGTGGATGTTTATTTCCCATTCTATGTTTCAGTGGATGTATATTTCCCATTCTATGTTTCAGTCGATGTATATTTCCCATTCTGTGTTTCAGTGGATGTATATTTCCCATTCTATGTTTCAGTGGATGTATATTTCCCATTCTGTGTTTCAGTAGATGTATATTTCCCATTCTGTGTTTCAGTAGATGTATATTTTCCATTCTGTGTTTCAGTGGATGTATATTTCCCATTCTGTGTTTCATTGGATGTATATTTCCCATTCTCTGATTCAGTGAATGTATATTTCCCCTTCTATGTTTCAGTGTGGATGTATATTTCCCGTTCTATGTTTCAGTTGAGGTATATTTCCCATTCAGTGTTTCAGTGGATGTATATTTCCCATTCTGTGTTTCAGTAGATGTATATTTCCCATTCTGTCTTTCAGTGGATGTATATTTCCCATTCTCTGTTTCAGTGAATGTATATTTCCCATTCTATGTTTCAGTGGATGTATATTTCCCATTCTATGTTTCAGTGGATGTATATTTCCCATTCTGTGTTTCAGTGGATGCATATTTTCCATTCTCTTTCCTGTGTTCATCATTAGTGCTAATGAGGCTAGTGAACCCACAAGGACATGGTGAGTAATATTTTATTAAGTCTACAATTTGTAGGAATGTCCGTCTGTTTTATGCCCATTGGTGTAAAATAGGGAAATTCCACCCAAAGAGGTTTTCAAATGAGTTTAATCCCTAAGCCTGACGAGGTTTTACATCCAATTTTAAAATCCTGGATGTGGACTATCCCTATCCTACTCCAAGTCATGAAAGAGTATTTTTGTTTTATTCCAATCATCTGAGTTGGAACAAAAGACCACTAAGAGGCATCACAGATTTTACAACTGTTGAATTTTAAAGGTGTAGCCTGGAATTTATACCCAGTAAATTTGTTCCAAAAACAAAAGGGTCGATTTGAAGATATCTTAATCACATATAGATGTACAGTATTTTGTCTACAAATTATTCAGTGCACTTGGTTCAAAAACAATCAGGGTGTAAGTTTTCATTGGTTGGTGCTTTCGTCACTACTCTGAGATAGGTAATCCCACAGTGTTACTCATCCTCGATATCCAGGGGTTACGCTTACATACGCTCTCTGCACCCTTTGAATATGGCATAGCAAAATTGAAGGCACAAAGATAGCTGTTTTATTGGTCTCGGGTAAAAGGAATCCTGACCAATCGCTAGGCTGATACCTGTCCTTTAAAGATTACAAAGGGGCAACACCCGACTTCAAAGTTAATCAATTTCTACCGTTATGGACCGTGAGATTCTTTTTATGTACATCAAAGGAATGAACTAGTCTTCTTGTCTCGACAAGGTGGCGCACACTGAGCCTTCAATTTTGCTATGACATATTCCAGGGGTGTAGAGAACGTAAAGAGCGTAACCCCTGGATATCGAGGATGGGTGTTACTTTTCTAAACCAGAACTGATTTAAACAACATAGCAAGGTACCCGAGGGTATTTTGCGATTTTGGGGGTCAATACTATGTTTGCGAAAAAACGATCTGCAGAATGATATGACAGGCGTTGAAATGAGCTGCGAAAATAAACTTAAAAACTGTTATATGTCATCATGAAATAGATGTGATGATTTGCTTAACAATAACAATGCTGTCATAATGCATATTCATTTGATTATTTGACATTTGATATGCGGAGTGTATAATCTGTTCGCCAAAACACCAGGAAAATTTAGTTCCTTCTCTAACGAAGATAGCGAAATTATCATCCTCGTTAACGTGATTTCCTAATTTGTGATGAAAATCGCGAAAAATATAAGCCTCCGTAAAGAACCCGTTATACACGTACAATGTTTGTGATGTCGAACAATATTTACACAGTATTCATTGCAATGGCAATCTAATGCAATAAGTGTAGTTGCCAAAACCTATTCAAAGATAGACATTCAAAAAATACCAGCATATGTTCCCTTAGCGCAGATCAGATATTAAGCCGAGTTATTTTATATTACGTGAAAGTGGACAAAATTTCGTGTTGTGGAAAATACTTGCGTTTTTCATGCAAAGGCTTATTTATTTATCATATAGAATAAAGATTTATAGAATATAAAGATTTCAAACCATTGATAGCGTAAAAAAAAATCAAATCAGAATAATTCCAAGGGGTCCTAACGTGCACACAAACAGTTATTTCGTCTTTCACAATTATAATAGCAGATCAATTTTGGTTAATATTTAAAACTATGCCTTTTTTCTTTTTCAGCGCGTTTCCTCTGAAGGTGTTTGCTCCTGTAGTTGCCCTCTCCAATGCTATTTTCCGTCGTGCCACTGTGGGTAGTACAAACGTTTCACCAGCGCGTTCCAAACCGGTGGTGCCACCTACTGGGAAGCCTAAAAAACACGTTGGGATATCTAAATACAGCCAGGAGTTCAGCTGATATTATTATTGTGTAGTAGTTTTCTCCAATTTTAACGCTTTTTAATATCATTGCTCATCAATTTGATATCATTCATGATTACTGCAGTGTTGGAAAAAACCCATTTGGAGCCCCATTTTGTGCCGGAACTCTTCTGTGTGTGGAGGTATAGATGAGATCTGAGAAGAAGTCCCCGACGTTAGACATTTTCCTTATTTAATACATTTTTATTAACAATATCTGTGTAAAAAAAAAGTTGTTTTTAAATGAGTTCATATTGTGTGTGACAAGCCTGTACATAAAACCTGAAGCATATTTCAGAAAAAACAGACACAATGGGAATGTCTTCAAAAATCCTTTTCATTCTATGTTCACTGGATCAATAAAAACAACCCTTATCTGAGTGACTAGAATTGAAAAGTCTTCAAGAAACGTCACCATTTTGAGGGGAATTTGCAAATTTGTGTGAAACTCTCTAGAAAATGCCACCATTTTTGCCCTTTGGGTGAATTTGCAAATTTGTGTGGAAATCTCGGGAGAATGCCACCGTTTTTGCCATCGAGGTGAATTTGCAAATTTGTGTGAAAATCTCGGGAGAATGCCACCAATTTTTGCCCTGAACGCAAATTCACAACATCGCAATGTTGTCCCTGAGATGTCTCTGTAGAAGGTATTAACATTACATATTAAACATTGATGTGATTATGTTTTCCACTGCACACCACTCCTATAGGTTTATTGACAGTGAAATATTATTTAACCCTTTCACCACTGTAGACCATAATGGACTCATCCAAATCAATACATGGAAGAGTTTACTAAAGTTACATAGGGGTGAAAGGGTTAGTTCCAAGACTGTGTTGTTCTGTGTACTTACTAGTGAAGTTTTGATTTCATGACAAAAAACAATAACAACTATATACGCTGTGTTCATTTGTTTCTTAATAAAATGTTTGTGATATATATTTAAAGTTGCAATCAAGACATAATTTAACTTTTTGAGTTTTTGTGAAAATAAATATCTCTCTAAAATATGAGTGATTTACAAACCAAATATTGTGTTATTATGCACATGGTCTAGAGGAATTAAACTTCCCGTATCCTGCTGGCAGGGATCAAATAGTGAGTTTAAAGTTTAAGAATATTCTTCTTAACCCTTTCACCACTGTAAACCATAATGGACTCATCCAGTTAAATGTATGGTAGAGTCTACTAAAGTTACCTAGGGGTGAAAGGGTTAAGTCCCACGAGGCCCAGGACCATATTTAGTCATTAGTTACCTAAAATGGGTTGGAATGAAGTTTCATCATATCAATGACCTTGACCTATTTCGTAGGTAATAGGGGTCAAATATGTTAAAAACTTTTGGAAGAAGCCACGAAACATGGATATGTTGTTTAAACCAGCAGTGCAAATCTGACATATTTAGTATGTTATGAATAATTCATGTATTTATGATATATGTTGTGTGAAGGTCAAAGGTCAACTTTGAGTGCAGACTTGGGTCAAATTTTGATATGTACTAAATTAGGCTTAAATCTTTAAATATCTTATTTTTATGTTCCTTTAGGCCCAAAATTGTGATACTTAAACAGCGGGTATCTAGAAGGGAGTGCTATGAAGTTGTCTTATACATGGATATATATATATAACTTTACCTACTTTCCCAGGACACGGGGTGTTGCTTCCCTGCCGGGAGACCACATATATGCTTACTTGGTATAAAGAGATGAACACAGTCCTGCTACCAGTATTTGGCTCCAGGGTCCAGCCCATTCGGACTAGCTCCTTGTATCATAATATCAACACCATCATGACTCCATCAATAACCATATATACAATCGCTGGGCATAGAGAGACTACCAAAGCCATGCTTTGAGGATTGATTCACTCAAGCTCTTTAACTGCATGTACTATGCTGGTGAGAAGAAACAAATACTCTCTTAATACCAAGATTCCCAAGTGCCTTGCCGATCCCAGGGGACTAAGGTCATTAGTCATAACTTGGAAACAGTTTAAAGATCCCATCATATGACCACAGATGTGCTTGCTTGCTGTGAACAGCAAATTAGGTCTTTACAACAATGAAATTGATGACGTCACAATAGAGGTTGATGACGTTACAATAGCAAACGTTGTTATTCTGTCTTTTTGTGAGCAGGTATTGATTGTTACGTCATTTGTTTGTGAGAGTAACGTCATAATTCTTTGAGAAACGACGTAATTTTCTTACACAAACTAATGACGTAACAATCAATACCTGCTCACAAGCAAGAGCAGATCACTCTGCAATACAAATAGGGCGGAATAGTCTCACAACAACACTTGCCTTCTCAATGCATTTCAATGGAAGGAGGTGGAGCAAAAATAAATCTAGCTGTATTGAAGTGTGATCTTGGGGACTGTCATCCTCTAACGTATAGTATTCATGTTTTATACCAGAAGTCATAACAGACCAAGGTTCAAAACTTGTTATAAATGGTACATTCACGTCAATCCATGTTAACAAAAATATCGGTTATCACTTTTAGCCCACCATCATCTGATGTTGGGCTATTCAAATCACCCTGCCTCCGTGGTCTGTGGTCCGTCCGTGGTCCTTCCTTAAACAATTCTTGTTATTGGTATTTCTCAAGAAGAACCAGAGGGATCTTTCTCAAAATTTTTATGTAGGTTCCCCTTGGTCCTTAGCTGTGCAGGGCAACTTTTGAGACTGATTGGATAATTAACATGGCCGACAGGCAGTCATCTTGGATTTTGAAAGTGAACGTTTATTATTGCTATATCTCTGGAAGTACCAGAGGGATCTTTCTCAAATTTTATATGTAGGTTTCCCTTGGTCCTAAGTTGTGCAGGTTTACTTTTGTGACTGATTCGATAAACAACATGGCCGACAGGCAGCCATCTTGAATTTTGACATTGAAGGTTTGTTATCGCTATTTCTCAGGAAGTACTGGAGATATCTATCTCAAATTTTATATGAAGGTTTCCCTTGGTCTATAGTTGTGTATATTAACTTTTGCGACTGATCAGATAAACAGATTGACAGACAGGCAGACATCTTGGATTTTGACAGTAAAGGTTTGTTATGTTTCTTTTTTTTTTATGTAGGTTCCCGTTGGTATGCATATTTTCTTCTGAGACTGATCGAATAAACAAATCTTTGATAGTGCTATTTCCAAGGAAGTACTGGAGGGTTCTTTTTCAAATTCTATATGTAGGTTCCCCACTGTCCTTTATTGTTCATGTTTACTTTTGAAACTGATCAGTTAAACAAAATGCCCTACCGACAGCCATCTTCGATTTTTGACATTTAAGGTTTGTTAGTACTATTTCTCAGAAACAACTTGAGGGATCTTTCTCAAATTTGATATGTAGGTTATCCTTGATCCCTCATTATGCATGTTATATTTTGAGACTAATCATAAAAGCAAAGTGGCTAAAGGAAGAACTTAACAGATCTTTCTCATATTGCAATGATCGATTCTATTTCTTTCACATTAAGTACTGTACTAGTAAATATGTGAAATGACAAACTCACTTTGAAGGTTGGCTTTCAAACACATCAGTATTACGTTTAGATCACAAGTTACCTCAATGTGCGTTTACTGTTAACATGACTCGATCAAACAGATAAGAGGAAAGAAGAGAAAAGATCGAACTGACAAAGATCTAATGAAGATGGTACAAAGGTGGACGCCAAGATCCCTCTGGGATCTCTGGTTATGACATGATATACATTGTTACACCTCAAGTGAATTTCTAGCTATTTGATTGGTTGGGAGAAAATTAAACAAAAAATTCTGTCACCCTCCGAAAATACATTGGTTTTAAGGGGCGCGGGTGATATTGACATGAGACAGTGAAAATATCACATGCGCGAAAAATGTGCGTCCACCGCTTCGTTTCCCCACCGTGATGGTCACAAGAACGTTTTACAGCAACAGCCAATTTTATGAAGCGCCGGTGCGATAGCGATTGTAAACAGCAGACTATCAACATGATCGAGGTTTGCTGCCGTTTCTGAGCTACAAAGACTTTTGGTGTAACCAAATAGATATGACATTCATTAGCAGGTGACAGTGAATATTGTCAACCCTCGGGTGACAATGGTTTTCTCGGGTTGACAATATTCACTGTCATCTGCTAATGAATGTCATATTTATAAAATGTCCTGGCTTTATTTGCCCTTTTTAGCTAAGCCGCTCTGAAAATCCTATCAAAACAATAAAAAAAACTATGGCGTCTGAAACCAACAAAATGCACCCTTTGTTTGCACAATTTAACGTCCGCAATGTCAATAGTTGATTGAGCATTTTTAAACATCCTTATATTGGCTCAAAAGTATTCGATACTAGGCATTGCATCCTCAATATGAGGGGTTACGCTCACTTTCGTTCAGTGCACCCCTGGAATATGTCATAGCAAAACTGAAGGCACGAAGATAGCTGTTTGGTTAATTAGTCTCGGGTTGAAAAAAACTGACCAATCGCTAAGCTGATACCTTTCCTTTGAAGATTACAAAGAAGAGACGCCCAACTTTAAAGCCTGTCAATTATTAACGTTACGTGACCGCGAGATTCGTTTGATGTACATCAAGTGATCGAACTAGTCTTCTTGTCTCCTTCAATTTTGCTATGACATATTCCAGGGGTGTAGAGAGCGAAAGTGAGCGTAACCCCTGGATATCGAGGATGTTGGTATTGGGAATTGGACAAAACTTGTACACGAGATGTAATGGCAATCGTTAGAAAAGTTCTCGTTTTCTACCCAATTCATTAAACATGCATTTAATAGATATGATATAAGTATGCTTGTCAAACTGGACGAATTTTAGTACCTGGTTAACCGTTGAAAACCCTAGTTATAAGTTAGCATACCATCCTCAACCTTAGTTAACTACAGGAATGAAACGGGTATCTTCCAACTTATATTAATCACTGTTATTGGCCCTGATTGGTAACGCGCAGTAAGTCTCGATGTGGGTGACAACTGGAGTACCAGGAGAAAAACCAACGTGATCGGGCAGGGGACCAATACCTGAGAATTAAACCTCGTCTCTTTTCGGAATCTAAACACATATAGTCTAAGTTTAGTTTGTTTGTGTTTTACGTTCTGTTAACAGCTATGGTCATTTAATGACGTGCCATGATTTGGTGGTGGAGGAAAGCCGGAGTTCCTGGAGAAAAACCATCGACCTGCGGTCAGTACCTGGCGACTGCACCACGTAGGTCTCAATGGTGAAGGGCTAGTGGTAGCAGAATGTCAGACGCCTTGACCACTTGACCGGCCCCTCCACAATATAGCCTTTAAGCTCTTGTCATGACAAAATAGTTATATTGTTTCATCTTATTATGTTTAATCATGCTGAATAATTGAAGAATTAGAACATCATGTTCGTCGACAAATCTCAATTTTCTTTAATCAATGCCCGCCCCTCCATACCGAGGCTAAATCTGATGTATGTCCAAATTCACAAGAATCATAATTGTACAAACAATTGTCAAACCTTTGTGGATGAATCCTGTCCCTATGCACTATATTGTTTCCCAGTGGCGTAGCATATATGTATGCTTGTATGCTCAAGCATACAATAAAATTTCATCATTTTTTTTAATCATATATTTCATTGATTTTTTTTTTATGAGTAATAATGACCGTCTGCAACAACCATAAAAAGGGAAAGAAATATAAAAAAATCTTAGTCCGACGGAACATTATACCGTGTTGTTCTCATATAATCGATTAAGGGGCTTTTAGTCTTATCATTAGCAAGTAAAACTTTTACTTGTTAATACTCAAGACATAAAGGAGTTCCTAGAACACGGGAGATTGCGTTTAGAGCTAAGGGGAATTCGTTTCCAGCTGTGAAAGCATACACTCCGAAAAAATATTTGCTACACCTCTTTCCGTTTAGATGTAACAGTAGACCAACACTCCCGATGACCAGGTAGATTAATCGGTTAAAGGGACAGTAAAACAACTTGAAGTGTTAGTTCGAATCCTGGTCTAGACCCACTGAATTATTTTTAATCTCAAAACACTCTTATTGGTTATATTTTGTTTATTTCAACTTTATTATTTCCCATAAAAAGTCCCGCAGGGCTTTATTTTCAGAAATCATCTATCAAAACTAGAGTCATGCCGTAAAAACAGTTTCAACACTTACATGGACAGATTTTCACAGTGGTACAGGGATCTTCAAAAGACACAGATATATTTGTCCATGGTATGAAAAATCCAATAAAAAAGAGAATGGTAAAAACAAAAATATTTGTTTAATTAACCATCTACAAAACAAATGCAACATTTAAAAAATACTTGGTTATTGTAGAGTAACGTCGCATGATGAATGTGTCCTGACTGTCCGGATTGAGCACAAAAGCAGACGAACGATTAAAGCAAATTAATAAATCTCGCCCCGAAATATAGAGAATTAAAAGTCTACTTATCGTCTTTTCGGTATACTGGTCGATAAACTTTTCTCTATGAAATTCCCCCCAAATATTAATCGCATTTATAAGACATCAGGCATTAGTTAGTTGATGTATGGTCAAAAAGTTTGAAAATTGTAAAAGTAAAAGCGAATTAATAGGGCTGAATATTTCTTGATCAATATACTTTTGATCGAGTTCCGAATACTTTATTTTGGCTTGTTCCTGAAGTTTTCTAAAACCTGGAAAAAATATATTGAATTAGCATTAATTAGTTAAATAGAAAGAACAAAAACACCCAGTTGATATAGCTCTTGATTGTAACATACTGTAAAATGAAAATTCTCAGGTGAGGAACTGTGCGCGTTTTTCGCGTTGAGCAAGTCAGAACTTAACTACCCTCACAAGAATATGTACCGAGATATTATATGAAGATTTATAGAATGTATGGGTTTTAGAGAGATTGCCGACACAAAACTGTCTACATTGCATCCCAGCGTAAACATTTCCGCACATAAGAATTTCCTCTCCAACAGTATCTAATTACTGTCAAAGAGGAAATTTCACGGTGTTGAAATTTTCGCGTTAAAAAATCAGCGCGAAAATATCTACACGCGACTACTTATTCATAGATTATAAAGTTTATAGATAAATAAGGTATAGATTTTAAAACTAGTTCCAAGAAGAAAATGTCCACATCGTGATCAGTTTAAAGGGGCACAACGCGAATATTTCCACTCGCGAAAATTTTAACTTTTACGGAATCGCTTTCCCTTGTTATTATCAATGTTTTCGACTGTCACGTGCGTTATTGTTCCATCGCTCAATACTTGCCACTGTATATTGTGCAAACGTTTATGAGATAGCGCTCATTGGTGAAACAAATACAAAATCCAACGAAATAAATTGACAGTTGTTAGGTTAAAAATAACATACCTAGAAATATTTACCTGATAAATCAATATCTTCTACTTGCCGTTATTGTTACATTAAAATTGGTTGGATATTCATTTGTATCCCTTTATACATGTAAAAATCCAGATATCACGTCTAGTAGAAACAATATATCGACTTTTTGTTGGGGTGATTATGTTGTTAAATGGACCTGAGAAAGAGATATTGACTTTGTCGCGGTATAACAGCGTACTAACTATTAAGTTGTTACATCAGATGCTAAAACATGTTTTAATCATTAATCAAGATAAAACATACGAAAAGTATACGAAAGAAAGTCTTGCGTTTGGCAAGGACATTGCTATTCCCCCCCCCCCCCCCCCTTTCTGTTTTAAAACAGTAGTTTATAATTTTTTGGATTTCCTTTTAGCCCCCAGCGTCACCGGTCGCGATGAGTCCTAGACGAAACATCTGTAAAATGCAATAGAATTCATTTTTGGCATACTTTAACTAATATTCAATTAATTCGATTGCTAACATTACTGTTTTGAAAAAAATAAAACAATTGTAGCCTTTGGCTGAGGTCGATACCTGGATTTATCAACCCGAGAAAAGACATATTAACAGAGGACGCAGTCGGGTCGATAAATCCAGGTATCGACCGAAGTTTAGTTTAAATCAATTTTATTGCAACAAAAGACAAATGGATTGGACAAAAGTTATTGCAACTTACTTACGTCCTTTCCGTAACAGAAAATATATATACAAAATTAATGAGTCACGTAATAACCTAATACAAATTCATATATGTATATATATATATAAGATGTTAAAGATGGATAACAGCAAAAGAGGTAATGATAGGATTAGGGACACCAACGTATAGTTTTTAAATATGTATTCGGAGAGTTTACTTGAGATCGCGTGTGTGATTTTCCCAATCAAGTCGGCGTAAGTAGTCAAAGGCTACAATTGTTTTATTATTTTCACAAGAGTAATGTTAGCAATCTGGAACAAAAACACAGTAAAATGCTACGGAAGCTAAACGATGCGTTTGTTTGGAGACACGTCATAATTATATTGTTAGCTCCAAGTCAATATCGGGGTTTTTTTTATCGGTGGACACGTGATTCACTTCTGGCCAATCACTTGTCGGAAATAATATGAAAAATTAATAATAGTAAATATATAAGGTACAATCACCTGTGTGTATTTTGGAGCGAAGAAACAAAAAGGTAACGATTAAAGTACTGGCAAAACAACGGGACATTCATGCGAAAGTGAATTTTTTTCAGGAATTACTGGTAAATATTCCCATTTATACATTCCATGTCATTGCAACAATATTACCTTATATCAATTGTTAGGTTATAATAAAGTATTATAATTAAAAGACACGTGGATTAAATAATATTCTACGGTCGTTTACCGTTCTATTTCCTATGGTTCAAGGTATAATTAACATTTCGATGGGTTTTTTTAAATTTTAATTACTGTCCAATATTTGCCACGAATGCAGTAGCGGAAGTATTGTTTCCATAAGATAGTGCATGTAAATGTACTACAACTAATCACATGGGGGAGACACGTACACACTTGTGTATCAGGTAGGATTGTAATGTACGCGTGTCCACTGCCCACTGTAGTGTATTTCCAACAACTTAACGGGGCAAACAGCGAAATCGGATGCTTGGGTATTCTCGGCAACTATCTAGGTGAGTGACTTCAATTTTAAATCAACATTATTCATTTCAGTTATTTTTGTTCTCGTACTGTTCACCGTTTTAATCAATTGTTCATGTTATATAACGAAGGTAGGAAACAGGTTTACACAACATGTGTTCTTGTCTTTACAGCTGTTGATTGCGCACACGAAACACAAGTAAGAAATAGGGAGCATTTTGCATGCATAGAACATTATTTATACAACTTTGTTGTTATCAGTATAAAATCTTAAAAAATCACTCAATGGTGAAATATATTTTAACTGTACACGGTAAGTGAGATTCATTAATTTCATTTTTATAAAAATAAAAATTATTATAAAATTGTTAGTCTCGTTTTTTAAATATAAGGATGAATTCAATAGCTATATACCTGGTATGCAATTTAAACATTTCAATGGACATTTTGTATTGTTCAACATATGCAGGACACATTCTTAGTAATAATAATTACCTTACACTTATATTTCATATCATTTTACAGACTCGTGGCACGTCTCGAGACTCCAAAGCCCCAAAGGCATCTGTGGACAAAAGGAAATTGATTCTCTCAATTCATTTCATTTCATTCTCGCTACGATACAAAGTATAGAGAAACTACGTCAAATATATTAGCTTACAGAAAGAAGACAACCTTTGACATTTTGTGTGAGTATCTTCCCTTCCTTATTATTACGAAAGAATATTCATATTTATTGGGAATGTAAGGTCGCCAATGGTATGTTTTTCTGCTCATTATATTGATTATATTTCATAAATTCTAAAGACTGTGATTAATGTTCTACAGTCACAAAATGTCCATCATCCTCGATATCCGGGGTTACGCTCACTTTCTCTTTCTACATCCCTGGAATATGTCATAGCAAAAATGAAGGCTCATTGTGCGCCACCTTGTTGATGAGACAAGAAGACTAGTTCGATCCTTTGATGTACATGAAAAGAATCACGCGGTCACGTAACGGTAAAAAAATGACAGAAAAATCAAAACGTTTGACCGTTCAATGGGTAAACTGTTTAACTGTCAGGTGATAGTATACAGCAAGTTAAAGACTGAAAAAATAACTTATTGAGTTTGATATTTGTTTATTAAAACATAATTTCAACATCTTACAATAATTCTTAAATTGACTGATTCGTGAATTAATTGCTTAAATTCCTTTAGATTTTTTCAGGCAAAATGACGCACGGCCGTTCGAGGATGATTGTTCTGTTGTTAATTATTGCGGGAGCGCTGTTCGTCTGGAGTTACTGTCGACAAATTGAAAAGATTCAACAGGAACGTTACACTCAAATCGTCCATGAAACAGCAAAATTAACTACAATCGAAAAGCTATTACCCCAAAAACTACATGAGGATTCCATACCGAACGTCCATCAGCAGGAGGTACCGAAGGTCCATCAGCAGGAGGTACCGACGGTCCATCAGCAGGAGGTACCGAAGGTCCATCAGCAGGAGGTACCGAACGTCGATCAACAGGATGAAATGACAACTACGCCGGTGTTTCGATAGGGGCCGGGCGCCTATGAGCCAGTGGACAGACTTAAAAAGGGAAATATATTTCACAAATCAACTTGGAGGCCAGCCACGTCACACTTCCTGGGAAAACACAGTCCGTCCTTCTAGGAACAAGACAAGTCATTTTTTTTTTTATAATTATAAATACTCCAACGTGGAAGCTTACGTATTAGTACGCTCGTTAACCCTACAATGTTAAACACGAAAGTACAATTAACGTTTAAAATAACTCAAAGGATCCCCGTACCACTGCCGAAAACTGAAACAAGGCTCCGGAGAAAGGTTTTGTTTTGCATGACGGTAGTTTGGAACAAAGATGGTAACTTTCAGTATTGTGGATTGTAGCTGGCGGCCTAGCATCTCCAGACTATCCACGTGTGATAACAATATCCCAGGGTCATTAATATATTATTTCCGTAATAAAAACATTAACAAGAATAGTCTTCTACAAAGCCCTTTTTTATACTCCGCATGTTGATTCTATGAAATTTGGATACTGAAAATATTCCATAACAAATTATACAACTGTTGATGGTTAAGGTGGTATTTTTAAGGGCCCGTTTTAAAGATTGGGTTGGAGGATGTGGGTTGATTAGGGGTAGAATTACAGCAATAATTGTGCTGACAAAATGGCTCAAATCACTAAATAAATTAGCATTTTAGCATATATACATATGTATATGACATGAATTTGACACAAAAAAATATCATCTTGAGATTACCATATTGCGTTATAAGAGTTCCCCTTGTGAAATTGACTATCACAATTTTTACCAAGAAAAAAGGTAATTTTTCCCTTTATTACCAAATAAGAAATTAGAAAGACTTAAGCGTTTCCGAAAAAAAACTATTATAAACGTACCAAAGGTCATTTTGCTGGAATTTGTCCCATTAATTCTTTTAATAAATTATACGACAAAAGCAGCCGAGAGATTCATGCATTCTTTTCGTGTTGAATGATATATTTCCTTTAAAAAATATTATATTTTGCATTTACTAAGCAAAGTAATCACCTTTTTGTTGTTAAAGAATTATAATTCATAAATAGACCTTAATAAATTGTAGTTCAGCCCGACTGATAAACTGTGAATTGCCTTTATACTGAACTTTAGGGAATCAAATACAACTTTGATATATAATAACAATGAATATTTTATTAACGTGTCACACATTTCAATATAGGCCTGTATCATAAAATACTTTTTACTATGTTTAAGAACTATGTATAAGTACTTAAATTAATGAGATAAATTCTCGGAAACGGATTTATATAAGTTATTTCAACTTGTTTCCGGATCCCATTCCTCTGTACTTTGTATGTTATGTGATGTAATGGAACCTAATTTGGAATGAAATAAAGTTTATATCAAGTACTGTCCGGCCAGTGCTGACCTATGAGACACCACAATCACAATACTACGTAATACATGTATTGCAATTATATACAACATAACATTTAAACTATAAGCAGATCAAGATATTTCTAGATTAAATTAACTCATTTCAACAATATCACAGAGTGTACTTATAATCATTATGCATTAAGTTTGTGTACAGTATTGTGGAGGCCCGTTTTACGTGTAATTCAGAAAGGCGGAAAAAGTAGACATTTCACCGCGTCATATGCCCATTTATATTTTCAACTTTTGCGGGATAAAAACAAGGGATTCAGTTGATCTAAAAGAGTAATAGAGTACAAATATATTGTACAATTTCCCACTTAATGACAGATTATATTTTACATTATTGAGCATTATAAACTTGTACAACGACAATCATCTTGCTACAATCAAAATTGCAACACGATATCAGTAATTAATGTAGTGTCGAAAAGGGGGAAAGTTTGACGGAGCGTGGGGAGTCGAATTGGTCATACAAATATGGTTAAAAAGGTTCTGCAAATATTGGGTATCTAGCTTTTTGATAAGATCTTCAGATGCATAATTGCTTTTAAAATTGACCATAATTTGTTAAATCAAATAAAATCCTGTTTCACTAGATCAAAGACGAGATTTGAACGTGACTTAAACCTCATAACAGCATATCCTTAATTGTGCATGTACATTATGTCTTTTTCATAATTTTATATCAATTATGATACGTGCTACAGAAATAGAATGTAATTTGCCAATTTATTATCATTTTACCCTTTCACTCCTATATAACTTTAGTAGACTCTACCATGCATTGATCTGGATGAGTCCATTTTGACCTACAGTGGTGAAAGGTAGTACTGAAGTCAAAATAATGAATAGTTAATGTTTAAAGTATTCCGAATCATATGAAAAAGTACCGATAAAACAATGATTCACCTGACATATTTACAATTTTTGACGTCGTCAGATATTTTATCCTTAAACTTTTGATTGTAAATAAGGTTATTCCCGAAAATATCCTATCTTTTCATAGCATCCTTTTATTTGTTCAATTATGTCCACATTGCTTGTTAAATGTACAATGTATGAAAGTGATTGCAAGCCTTTGTTGTTTGTTTTCAAAATTATAACCATTACTATTATCCATATGTTGTAAAGCGCCTTAGAGTAATTTTATAAATTAAATAGGGCGCTATATAAATGTTGTATATTATTATTATTATTATTATTATTATTAAAGTTTGGAATAATTTTATTTAAAACAAAGATATATTGGTTTTAGTCAAAAGTCTACAATTGATTGAACGATGTGGTAATGCTTTTTTGTCCCGTAACTGTTTATTAAAAAACACATCTAGGTCTTATAACTAAAAACGACAGTATGATCCAATATTGGCACTGGATCCGAACAAACACATCTTGGTTGGATGCATATTACTATTTAAAAGTACATATTCCGTCTTTGCGTATTGCAGAGTTAACTTCTCTTGAGAGCAGGTATTGATTGTTACGTCATTGGTCTGTGTGAGAAAATTACGTCGTTTTCTCAAAAATTGATGACGTTACTCTCACAAACAAATGACGTACCAATCAATACCTGCTCTCAGGAGAAGATAACACTGCAATACGCAAAGACGGAATAACGACAGTGCAGACATAGAAACTAGTAGAGATCTTTTCATGCTCTCTTCATTACTGTTTCCATTCTGCTATCATACCTACCTATGTATTATTTTTTAATTTTTGATTCATCACATAAAATGGTCAGTATTTTCACAAACTGTTAATCTAAACAATGTTTGGGTGTTTGTGAAATGCATGTTGTAGTATTGTCTAATGTATTTACATTTCAAGGGAAATGGCTTTATATAAGATTTAAGATCTGTCGCTAGATCCTATTCATATTCCTATTAACCTGCGTACTTATTATATATTATGATATGTGAAATAAATATTGTTTAAACCAAGAAATTTGTCAAATTTTCAGGGCGATCTGCTCTATTATCAAGACAGGAACATGAAAATGTACTTATCATAACATAAAACAGAGAAAAAAACCATTCACCATGAAATAATAATACAATAGAAAAACAAAAACAAACAGAAGTTACTTATATAAGATATGCTGTTGTAATTGCATATCCCCTCAGTTACCTTGTAACCGAAGGCTAATAATGGTAAATAATTCATCTTGAATACGTGAGGGCAAGTGAATTTAATATCTGTATATATATTATTGATTTGTGATACATGACACTCTAATAAAAAAAGAAGACTTTTAACGTCTGTTCCGTGTGTTTTGTGATTTCTAGTGTTAAACTAATACTCCATTCAATATTATTAACGAAATATTTTGGATATATTCAATTCACAATACAATGTAAAGAGAAACATATTTACAATATAATATATAATAATTGTAGTGTTCGTAGTCGGTAGTACACAGTACTGTTTCATAATAAATGCACGTTTGTATCAAGGTGGTCAAATATTGTTATTAATTATTCTGATAAAAGTACAAAGTTTCTTCAGTGTTTTTATATTATTAGTATTCATTAATTCATAGAACTTAATTACATTTGGTCTCATCCAAAAATATTTATCTATATATGAAATGCTATACCTAACCAGATATAGACAAATACTTACATAAGTTTCCACTCCTATGATAAAACACCAATTGACAATTGCCACAATGATGTGTGTATAATCACTTAGATCTTAAATCTACTGTATTCAATTTTATATTTAGATGAACTTTCTTTCAATGCACTTAAGTCATGTTAAAAAGTCAAAAAGTCCTGTGTAGCCGTTTAAAATAATATTCAGTTTAAACCCCCTTTTTTCCAAATTCGTAACAAAATGCGTTTTGTTCCTAATTTATCGCCAAAACAAGATATAGGGCTTGAGTACAGAATCTGAGATTGAGTATTCCGTCTTTGCATATTGCAGAGTTATCTTCTCTTGGGAGCAGGGGGTGATTGTTACATCATTGGTTTGTGTGAGAAAATTACGTCGTTTTCTCAAAAATTGATGACGTTACTCTCACAAACAAGTGACATAACAATCAATACCTGCTCCCAAGAGAAGATAACTCTACAATACGCAAAGACGGAATAAGAACGTACGGTTTCATGAGTAGGGACCCAGGCTTATACTCAGAGCGACAATCTTCTTCTGTGTTTCATACTTGTATACTTGTATGCTATATGTATTTGCATTACTGTTGCGCCTATGAGTCAAATGGCTTTCGGCTAATAAAGAATCTGAATCTTCTGTCAAACTCTAATTTATCATCAACTTCACATTTAAATTACATTATGTACTTTTAAAAATAACCGTAAAGTTTTATGAAAGATTAATTTATTCGTGTTTGATCTCACCGCATCAAAAGGTTAGGCAACACGAGTTGGTTATCCATGTGCTTTATATAATAAGGCGAGGTTTTTTTTCAGTGAGCTGTCCAAACTTAATTAATGTTAAATGTATTTTAAAGTGTTTTGTTTGACTCCATATTTAGTATTTGATGATAAAAAATATAGATAAAAGGAAATACTTTATTTATACCCTTTTTCAGATATTCCATTCCATATATTCATTAAATTCAAAATTCAATCAACAACTTTCGGAATACAAATATTATTTACAATTCGCATAATAGTATACCTGTCTTATATAAATATATTCGAAGCAAGAGTCAAATTTCATTAACAATTCATTGTTATCAAAGAGTTTCCTACGGCGACGAATCGTTGAGGAGATACTTAGAGAGTCCATTAAAGCTATTCTTATATGCATTAAAATCATTGCTTTGATCCGTAACATGATGGTGTAATGGTGTCGTGTTGGTATAGTTCAGACAGGTAGATACATGCGGGCACTTTCTGATGGTTCCCGACCATTAACGGTACACCATATAAATACAATATTGTTCTTATCTGCAAGAGAACTCGTCTCAATTACTTCAACAACATAAAAGCGTATATACGCGTATTCCCTGTATACTCACTTGTACGATCCCGTTATCAACTACCGCCAGAGGGCAGATACAGTTCGGTTCAAAGGTTATGATTAAATCAATTAAAAACAGCCAGGGGTATATTTAAATTCAATTCAAATGTATCTGACCAATCAGTGTGCAGAAAAGGTGATGATGGTATAATTATAAAGATGTGTCTTTATAAAGTTAGATAGATATTCAGACGTACCACCAACAGCTATTCACACCCCACATTGGTACCGGCGAGGAGTGTTGGTTTTCGCCAGCCAAGAAAAAAATGGGGTGTCCATGTACTTGTCTGGCGATAAAAGCAGGTATACAATTTTACTATTTTATCACCGTGTATATATAGATGGAATGTCAGAAAACACTATCAATAGATATTTCAGAAATTTTGTTAGCTTTTTATTTCATGTTCATGTGGATAAAAACTGTATAAAGCACTGCAACACGTACAATATTTATAATCGCACTTGTCATTTTATGATTAAGTCATTCGAAAATAAGCTCTGACGTGCACATTATTTATTAAATATCAATTAATATGAATTAATATATATGGGTAAGTTTGCGAAATTTTACAGATTTTTTTATTCTGTGTCGATATATAAGTGTGACTTTTATGTACAGTTATTATTGATTTCGTATATTTCTATCAATATATGACATTTAAAAAGAATTAAGATAGTGAGAAAATGAAATAAATCTAACACGAAAATCTTTCTTCAGCTAACATTTACAGCATATCTACAACAGCTGCCGGCATCATTTAGAAAAAAATCAATATTGAACTTTGACCTGAACGACTGGCCTTGATATTCCATCTTGACACTCAGCCTTGACCTCAAGCACCAAACAGGATTGACTGTGAACATCTACCTCTAAGAAGACAAAAAGTGAGTAAACATCCTGTTCCTAAGATATTTAAGGATTAACTTGAATATATTTTTAGGAGCTATAACACAAAAAACCGGAGTGTACTCTAAATAAATCGCGAAGCGGTTTATGATGAGAGTACACTCCGTTTTTTGGTGTGTTACAGCTCCATAACATGAAACATATATTCAAGTTAATCCTTATAATTTAATCAACTATACACAATCCCTGTGGAAATCCACTTTTATTGATGGACTCTTTTCTTTTAGAGATTATTGCGCCGCTGTATCAGCCAATTAAAAGCGACGTTAAAAACGGCGACGTCATTTTTTTTACGTTATGGGCTGATAACATATATTTTTAAGCCTATGAAAATGCTTGTTACAAGCAAGATTAAATTATTATATATTACAATATTGACTTTCGATTGTTTTGTTGTGTGTATATTATCATATTAGTCCCAAACTGTGAAGTTCACGGCATTGCATTGAAATGAATGATTTGCTAATACTGTACATATTAAAGACCGCTGGTGTTTGAAAGTGACTCTTCTGAAATTGCCTCCGGACATTTAACTATCTTGAAATTTGATATGGACAATATTTACGTTTAGATAGCTATCGCGAAATCAGCTACCTCGCGTAAGTACTTTTAAAATCAATACCGTGAAATGGACATCATTTACCGTTAGATAGTAATCTAGAAATCAATTATCGACCTTAAAGTTTTACCTGTTCATCTCGGCCGAACCATGTATAGCCCCGAGTGCCAAGGACTTCTCACCGTTACTGCTGGTCAGATTGTATTAATGAATAACGTCTCTGTCTAATTCTGAAGGACGATGTATATATATATTTCGTGTTGAAATACGTATCTCACACGAACGAACAACACTGTGGACGAAAGTGAAATATGTGTCGATATTGTCGCCTGCAAAGTTCATATCTGCTCAAGTGTTTTGAAATAATTACTAGAAATAGAAAGAAGAAAACACAAATTTAAAAGTTTAGAATATCGATGCAGAAATCATAGCAACATTTTTTTACTGCATCATATTCCGTCTTTGCGTATTGCAGAGTTATCTTCTCTTGAGACCAGGTATTGATTGTTACGTCATTGGTTCGTGTGAGGAAATTACGTCGTTTTCTCAAACATTGATGACGTTACTCTCACAAACAAATGACTTAACAATCAATACCTGCTCTCAAGAGAAGATAACTCTGCAATATGCAAAGACGGAATTTTTAATTCGTCCATTTCGGGCTCCTCTGTTGTAGTAAGGGTGAACATAATAAAAATCAATTAAAAACAGATAATAAACAAAAGAGATAAGGAAAACCACACATCTTCGTCTCTAGTATTATCGTCAAGCTTAAGGGTCCCCGTACCACTACCAAAAATGTAACGAAGTGTTGGAAAGTGTGTCTTTGGCATGACTATAGTTTTGATAAATAATTTCTAAAATGAAACATATACGTTTCATGAGAACAATGATAAAGCCGAAATAACAAAATATTATCAATAACAGTGTTTTGATTGTAAAAGAAAAATCAGCTTGACTAGACCGGAATTCGAACCCAGGACCGCAGATTGATATACTATCGCTCTAACCGATTGAGCTACCCGAACATCAGATCGAGAAGTGTCCTGGCCCAACTGTCTTACAGTAATTTCCAAACGGAAGTTAAGGGGAGGTTACTGTATATAGGAAAAACCACAGTGCAGTGGGACAGGGATCCTTAAGGAAGTTAAGGGGAGGTTACTGTATATAGGAAAAACCACAGTGCAATGGGACAGGGATCCTTAAGGAAGTTAAGTGGAGGTTACTGTGTAGAGGAAAAAAACACCGTCTAGTGGGACAGGGATCCTTAAGGAAGTTGAGGGGAGGTTACTGTGTAGAGGGGGGAAAACACAGTGTAGTGGGACAGGGATCCTTAACAAAGTTAAGGGGAGGTTACTGTGTAGAGGGGAAAAAACACAGTGGATTGGGACAGGGATCCTTAAGAAAGTTAAGGGGAGGTTACTGTGCAGAGAGGGGAAAACACAGTGTAGTGGGACAGGGATCCTTAAGAAAGTTAAGGGGAAGTTACTGTGTAGAGGGGGAAAACACAGTGGATTGGGACAGGGAACCTCGATATTTGTTTCCTCGACACATTAAATCAACTTCACCATTAGTCGTAATTCTAATAAATTTTATAACAACAAGACATTACAAAGTCTGGTTAATGTTGTAGGACAATATTTCCATCCATTTGTTATTGTTTTGGAAAATGCAACACTGCGTCCTATTGGTTATTGCGAACCAATCAAAACACAGATAACTACCGAGGTGTTACAATCATTGTTTTAATTCATGTTGATCACCCGGTCTTTGTGTTTAAAAACAAATGATATTCGTTTTCATTGTGTAGATAAAAACTTCTTATCTATAAACCAATATAGATTTGATGACAAGCATAAATGATACTTTTCTGTTACATAACATTGAAAATACACAAATCAACCTACATAAAAATTGCTTTCCTCGATGTCTTAAAGATACCCATGATGAGTTTATACAAGAAAATGAAATACTTGATAATCTAACCTTTATTAAGACAATAATCGCAACGAAATAATATTAAATTATGTGTGTTTAATGTTTTAAATTTAGATTATGAGAAAAGAATTATCTACCGGTAGTATGACATATTTTTCATTTAGAGAAAAATAAAACTCTATTAACATTATTTACTTGTCGGACGTGTGTACGTACTTCTTCAGATTTTAAATCCACAGCTCCGTTCTTTTTTACTTATCTATTGAAAAATTGTATTAGTAACATATTGTAAGATAACAAAGCTCAGAGCCCAGTGAAGACACATACCAGCATATGTCACCATGCGTTAACACCGATACATACGAATGAGATTCAATTGTATCCGAGGGATACGGCATGGCGACAGTTTTATTGCCTTCAATATCTGTCCTCGACCACAAATCGTTAGAATGAATGAGCCATTTCTGAATTTTCCTTTGTAGCAGCCGTAGCTAACTCTCATGTCTGATGTAATCGGCTCCTCTAGCAGTTTAAGCCAACTCTCATGTCTGATATAATCGGCTCCTCTAGCAGTTTTAGCTAACTCTTACGTGTGAAGCATGTCCCCCCTGTAGCGGTTTAGCTAACTCTTACGTGTAAAGTAAGTCTTCTCTGTAGCGATTTAGCTAACTCTTACGTCTGATATAAGTCTCACTGTAGCGATTTAGATAACTCTTACGTGTGAAGTAAGTCTTCTCTGTAGCGATTTAGCTAACTCTTACGTCTGAAGTAAGGCTCACTGTAGCGATTTAGCTAACTCTTACGTGTGAAGTAAGTCTCACTGTAGCGGTTTTAGCTAACTCTTACGTGTGAAGTAAATCTTCTCTGTAGCGGTTTTTGCTAATTCTAAGGTTTGAAATAATTCTCACCGTAGCAGTTTAGGAAACTCTTACGTGTGAAGTAAGTCTTCTCCGTAGCGGTTTTTGCTAACTCTTACGTGTGAAGTAAGTCTTCTCTGTAGCGGTTTTAGCTATCCCTTAGGTTTAAAATAAGTCTCACTGTAGCGATTAAGCTAACTCTTACGTGTGAAGTATTCTCCGTAGCGGTTTTTGCTTACACTTATGTGTGAAGTAAGTCTCACTGTAGCGGTTTTAGCTGCTAACACTTACGTGTGAAATAAGTCCCACTGTAGCGATTATGCTAACTCTTACTTCAGACAGTGAGCCTCGCATGTGTAAGACAAACCCGAATCGTAAAATTTGAGCAGGACATTTTTTTAAAAACAGCAAAAATGATTTATTATGTATTGCTGAATTTTTCGTTTTCATCAAAATACTACAGATACAAATAATTTTGTTTATATTGTTATCGTACAGTTACTTGACGGTCTCAAACAGGAATGTGAGAAGATTTTCGCTTCGTCGCCAAACTTCTCCGAGAGATTTTACATGTACCTCACGTCACGTTTAAACGAATCGATCATGAATTAAATCCATAACTAGGTATATAACAACTTTGATAAAGCTGCATTTATTGTAATGCTTCTAGAATGGAGAAAACAGAAATATTTACCGCCAATTTTTTGCCAGTTGCCTTATAATATCAAGGACGGACATCAATGCTTTTTTTTCAAATGCCCGATATCAAAACGAGCTGAGAATCAAATACATTGTCCTGCTATCAAAGTTGTCCCTATGTTTCAAATTTTTGCAATTATTATCATCGGAAAATACAACATATTTATATGATATATGCGCGTGTTGTAAACGTGCTGTGTTTTAGCTAATAATTGATAAAGGTATCCTAAGAATGCATTTACAAACTACAATAATGTTGTATCTATAAAGTTAACGATCAATAAAGAGATTATGATTACAATAATCCTCCGTTCATAATCCTCGGACAGCGTCGACAGCGGCGCGCTCTAAGCTTATCCACATTCAAATTCAAATTCATTTATTGACTTTGAGCTTTACAGCTCATCCAGTGGCAGACACTGCAATAACGCAGTGGAGAATGGACAAAAAATGCATGTAGTTACATATATTTTAACATTATATCATGCTATTCCTCAACTGGGTGGCATCATATATATATTTACTTAACATAGTTAATTCTTTAACGTTCGTTGTGCTTAATAATTGAATCAGCTTGAAAACAGATGCTTTTTTCCAGTAGTACAATTTTATACGTCTTTCTCTTAAAACTTGATAAAATGGACAAATGAACAAAAAATGGTTTTCGTCTTCAATATCTTCAGAGTTACACATAAACACTGTCTCACAGAATGCAACGCAGCGGCCGTAAATTAACAATAAAATATCGATCGATACTCTCCATGCCATTAATTGTTAGTATAATCTTCTTCCCGCCATCAATGTATTGTATTTGTACCAGATGGTTGCCATGAATAGGTTCCGATACGAGATCCTTGTGAAATAAAACTTAAAATGTACTCATCGCGCGGTAAGACGGCAGGGCTGTTTACTTTAAAATAGTGCCGATTTATTTTTCACAACGTGTGGGTCGAAAAATCTGAAAATCAACATTTCTTTTCCAAATTCTAATCATTTTCAGACCTTTAATTTGGTTCATGTAAGGACACCATTTCAGACACGTTCAACGGAAAAGAAAACGTTCAATTGTGCAAGTTCGTATATGATCTCAACGACACTATGAACGATTGGAGAGCCATCACGGAAATAGTTGTTTAAACAAAGGGATCACCTGGGATTTTAATATTCACAAATTTACAAATAAGTGAACAGAATTTTTTTTTTCATGTGAAATTGAGACCAACTACCTTTTCAAGGAGTTTTAAATTTTACACAAGTCTGCCAATACGGAACACGGGATCACGTGGAGCAAACACAATATCTACAGATAAAGACGATTGTGCTTTACTTCGATATTTGGATTTGTATTCACAGTGAGATTACCTTGATGGAAAACTAATGTTTGATTAGGGGGTTGAATATACCGGAAGTGTGCCTTTTGTCAAGGTTTTTTGATTTTGTGTCTTTTTTTCTGCATAAAATCCCGGGATTAATTTTTCAGCGTTAGTTTACGCCTGTGCAATTTTATTGTACACACTTCTCGAACAATTGGATAACATTAAAATTGGAAAATCTCTCAAAAAGATTTAACAACCGGATGTGACGTTATTGCGTTCAAGTGGTGACCTTTGAACTTTCGTAAAATAAAGGAACATATTTAAGTTAGCTATAGTAATACACTTAGCATCAATACGACTTCTGTTCCCTGTCCCGGAAGTGATATATCCACCATTCAATCAGGATGATTGTCAAAATCTCATTCCGGCGGCCTGTCAAGTATTTCATTGGTCTTCTCATTTCGGTCATTCTGCTTGTCAAACTCATGGAGCGAGAGCGTACGTAATTCACGTATTTGTGAAAATATTATATAATTGATAATAGTTTCCCCAGGACAACCGTTAAAAGATTTTAATAAATTGAGGTAAATCGGTATGTGTGATGTTAATCACTCCTTGTTGCCCGGATGTTAGCGCATGGGGTCAGTGGGTATTTTTTTTATTTCAATTACCTTTATTTGGGACGATAGAAATATATCGAACTGTCGAATACTTCTATGTTTTCTCACCGCGGCTCTCACCCAAGTTGAAAACAGGGGTCGCTTCTGCGAGAAAAAAATGCTGATTTTGCCTGATCGTAGGGGTGTAAACAATTTTGGTGTCCAGCTTAAGACGAAAATATATCAAAACAAGTTTGCTGATTTTACCTGTATACAGATATTAAATATTGATAAACTAGTAAAACTATTGATATGCACTGCAGTAGCTTTTTCTCGAGAGTGTAGACAATTTTGGTGTCCAGCTTTAGACGAAACGATATATGCAATATCATGTCCGCTAGTTTGTATCATTCTGAAAAATTGTAACAGACATAATTAAATAAAGGAATTATTCAAAAAGACGGTTATCTCCCCTGCACCAAGATATTTAAAAACTGTCACATGTCTTACAGCCATGTTCTATTTTAGGGAGCCTCCCATGGTTACAGAGGATCAAGGACATCGACACTATCAAAACTTTTGAACACGCGCAACAGACCTCTCATAAAAAGGACGTCCCGATTAAGGACCAAGGTAAGATATTAATTAAATTGGATCTAATTATATTATATTTTCAATAAGTACTTGTACGTCATTTCTATTGGAAACCATCTTTAAACGTTAATTTTTCTTTTCTGTAGAACCAATACCCGTAGTTCTGTTGACGTACATGCGTAGTGGGTCCTCATTCCTTGGTAACGTACTCCAAGCTAACCCGGATGTATATTACCTGTTCGAGCCTTTACACGCAATCCAGTTCGCTGTTAGGAGCCAGGAAACATTCTATTTCCTTAACGGAACATCAAGGTAATATAATAGCCCATCAACAGAGTATGACGTAGTAGTCCTACTTCCGCGCAAGCGTGATTTGATATTTTCTGGTTGAGGGTCATGTTCTGTTGACCTTTGACGGAAACAAAACTCCCTTTCATTTTAACTGCGGGACTGCTACATTGTTTAGAAGTAGTTAATGCGCATGTCAACGCCAATGAACCAATAATATGTTTAACATCATCGATAAAGAGATCAATCAATTTGATTTGGCAACCAGCGTCCAAACCCGCATTGTTCTAAATCTGTTCAATTTTGTAATTGACTCAAAATTTGTTATTTCATTTTAGTTAGATTAATCTTGTGACAAAAACAATCAAAAAAATCTTTTATATTCAAGCCTATTGTATATAGGTAACATGTAAGGAGTTTGGCTCTGTTCACGAAATCTAAGGGAACCCATTTATCTATACCAATGTTACCCTAAGCTAACAAACTTTCTGAATGATACTGTATACGGAGAACTTTTCGCCCAGTCAAGCTTTCGCCCTTCGCCCTTGAAACCAATTTTCGCTTAGTGCTTATTTCGCCTTCACGTTTAATTTCTATGCCTGGAATGTTATTAACTTACGTTCGCTGTAATGATAAATTTGACCCTTATATGGCCGGCGAAAAAGACGATAATTAAACTGCAGCAAAAAACGTTCCTGGTATACAGTTTCTTTGTAGGAAGCATCTGGGTATATTTTGTTCAAAATGTTCAAATTTCAATAAGTTCATCTTGGCTTTTGCAGGAAGTATGACAATTTCCTGGATATCGCTAAACTTACTATAGAGGGCCTTACCACTTGTAACATGGATATCATCCCAATTAAAATGTGGCTGAACGGATTCTTAACGTTTAGTAAAAAAGCAAAGGGCATGCGTTTTTGTGTGAGCAAAGCAAGAACGCTAGCGGAACGCCACGCCTGTGTGAATGAAACCAAGATGGCTTGTCTTAACTCGAGCCACTCCGCCTTGAAAATAATCCGGATTCCAATGGACCTCTTGGAACCTTTGATGACGTCGATTCCAAAGTTACGTATTTTACACCTCATACGCGACCCTCGGGCCACCATTATGTCACAACGTGCGCTCGGCGTCATCCCAGCGGCTCATTTCCGACAATACGTCACTCGGTTTTGTAACCGCGTGTACCAGGACGTTGTCACGGCTGAGCGTTTTCAGACATCTTTTCCGGGAAGGACTTTGCGAATATTTTATGAAGAGATCGCCAAAGACCCAAAATCTTATACCAATATTGTGTACAACTTTACAGATATGGCGTACACAACCAAAATAGAATCGGAAATACATTCGATGACGTCAGAGGATGTTCCAAAAAATTGTGGACAACTCTGTGCGCGGAAATCAAATTCCACTGCGCAAGCAGAGGCTTGGAGAAAAGACGTACCGATGGATTTAGTGGCTACAGTTGATGAAGTGTGTCAACCCCTGTACTCAAAATTAGGCTATATCAATGTGGATTCGGAGCGCATGCTCAGGGATATCACAGTTCCGCTCCGGTCGACTGTGACAACTTTCGATGACTTCCGGTACGCGTAATGTCTTAATATTTAAAGACTTTGGAAGATGGACATATTGACAGTTTTCTTTAAGGCATTCCTTATTCTCGTTGTGAGAGAATTTAAAAGGAACTTTTAGTGTGGTCAACTAAGGTTGCCTATGTGACATAAAACAAACGGGTCAGGTAGGTCAGGGAAACAGCAAACACCCCTAAACGTGCATATAATAATAGTTAATGAAACGTCACTAAAATATTAAACTCTCATACAATTAATATACATTCATCAACATTTACATCAACACAAAATACAATTTTATATCAATACAAAATACAACATTTATATCAATACAGCACACAACATTTACATCAACACAACATACAATATTTACATCAATACAAAATACATTTACATCAATAAAAAATACAATATTTACATCCATACAAATACAACATTTCAATCAATATAACATTTACATCAATACAAAATCCAACATTTACATCGATACAAAATACAATATTTACATCAGTACAAATCCAACATTTACATCAATATAACATTTACATCAATACAAAATACATTTGCATCAATACAAAATCCAACATTTACATCAATACAAAATACAATATTTACATCAATACAAAATACAACATTGCATCAATACAAAATACAACATTTACATCAATACAAAATACAGCATTTACATCAATACAACAAACAACATTTACATCAATACAACATACAACATTTACATCAATACAAAATACAATATTTACATCAATATCTGCTACATATTCATGTTGTTATTTTGGAAACACAGTTGTCTGCATAGTCTAGAATGGAACACATATATACGGATAGACAATAATACATAACATATTACAATACAAAGACAAGAACACAAAATACTTTCACTAAACTAAACAACACTACAAAATAATATAATACCACACAATACGACAAAACAATATAACAATAAATTACAATAACAAAATAAAGTGCCTCATTACAACACGATACCAGCACAATATACCACAACAAAACGCATCAATATAAAACAACACGATACCATACAAAACAATATAATACAACACAATACCGGACAATACAATACCATACAACACAATACGGTACAAAATAATATAATACCACACAATACGATAAAACAATATAACAATAAATTACAATGATAAAATATAGTGCCTCATTACAAAACAATACCAGCACAATATACCACAACAAAACACATCAATATAAAACAACACAATACCGTACAAAACAATACAATACAACACAATACCGTAAAAAACAATAAAGTACAACTCAATACCGTACAAAACAATATCATACAACACAATACCGTACAAAAAATACAATACAACACGATACCATACAAAACAATATAATACAACTCAATACCGTTCAAAACAATATCATACAACACAATACCGTACAAAAAATACAATACAACACGATACCATACAAAACAATATAATACAACTCAATACCGTTCAAAACAATATCATACAACACAATACCGTACAAAAAATACAATACAACACGATACCATACAAAACAATATAATACAACTCAATACCGTTCAAAACAATATCATACAACACAATACCGTACAAAAAATACAATACAACACGATACCATACAAAACAATATAATACAACTCAATACCGTTCAAAACAATATCATACAACACAATACCGTACAAAAAATACAATACAACACGATACCATACAAAACAATATAATACAACTCAATACCGTTCAAAACAATATCATAAACACAATACTGTACAAAACAAGATCATACAATTCAATACCGTACAAAACAATATCATACAACACAATACTGTACAAAACAATATCATACAATACAATACCGTACAAAACAATATCATACAACACAATACTGTAAAAACAATATCATACAACACAATACCGTAAAAAAACAAAACAATACAACAAAATACCGTACAAAACAATATAATACAACAAAATACCGTACAAAACAAAACAATACAAAACAGTACCGTACAAAACAATATCATTCAACACAATACCGTACAAAACAATATCATACAACACAATACCGTACAAAACAATATAATACAACAGAGTACCGTACAAAACAATGGCATACAATAAAATACTGAACAAAACAATATAATACAACACAATACCGTACAAAACAATATAATCCAACACAATACCGTACAAAACAATATCATACAATAAAATACTGTACAAAACAAAACAATACAACACAATACCGTAAAAAACAAAACAATACAACACAACACCGTCCAAAACAATATCATACAACACAATACCGTAAAAAAGAAAACAATACAACACAGTACCGTACAAAACAATATCATACAACACAATACCGTACAAAATAAAACAATACAACACAAAACCGTAAAAAACATTATAATACAACCCAATACCATACAAAACAATATCATACAATAAAATACCGTACAAAACAATATAATACAACACAATACCGTACAAAACAATATCATACAACACAATACCGTGCAAAACAATATCATACAACACGATACCGTAAAAAAACAACATAATACAACACAATACCGTACAAAACAATATCATACAGCAAAATACCGTACAAAACAATATCATACAACACAATACCGTAAAAAAACAACATAATACAACACAATACCGTACAAATCAATATCATACAACAAAATACCGTACAAAGCAATATCATACAACACAATACCGTACAAAATAAAATAATACAACACAATACGGTACAAAACAATAAAATACTGTACAAAACAATATCATACAACACGATACCGTACAATACAATATCATAAAACACAATACCGTACAAAGCAAAATAATACAACACAATACCGTACAAAACATTATAATACAACACAATACTGTACAAAACAATGCAATACCGTACAAAACAAAATCATACAACACAATACCGTACAAAACAAAATAATACAACACAGTACCAAACAAAACAATATCATAAATCACAATACCGTACAATACAATATCATAAAACACAATACCGTACAAAGCAAAATAATACAACACAATACGGTACAAAACAAAATAACACAACACAATACGGTACAAAACATTAAAATACTTTACAAAACAAAATAATACAACACAATACCGTACAAAACAAAAATAATACTACACAGTACCAAACAAAACAATACATTAAACACAGTACCGTACAAAACAAAATAATACAACACAATACCGTACAAAACAATATCATACAACACAATACCGTACAAAACAATATCATACAACACAATACCGTACAAAACAATATAATACAACAAAATACCGTACAAAACAATATCATTCAACACAATACCGTACAAAACAATATAATACAACACAATACAGTACAAAACAATATCATACATCACAATACCGTACAAAACAAAACAATACAACACAATACCGTAAAAAACAATACAACACAACACAATACCATACAACACAATACCGTACAAGTTAATATCATACAACACAATACCGTACAAAACAATATCATACAACACATTACCGAAAAAACCCCATCATACAACACAATACCGTACAAAACAATATCATACAAAACAATACCGTACAAAACAATATCATACAACACATTACCGAAAAAAACCCATCATACAACACAATACCGTACAAAACAATATCATACAATGCATTACCGAAAAAAAGCCATCATACAACAGAATACCGTACAAAACAATATCATACAACACAATACAGTACAAAACAATATCATATAACACAATACCGTACAAAACAATGCAATACAACACAATACCGTACGAAACAATAACATACATCACAATACCGTACAAAACAATATAATACAACAAAATACCGTACAAAACAATATCATACAACACAATTCCGTAAAAAAACAACATAATACAACACAATACCGTACAAAACAATATCATACAACACAATACCGTACAAAACAATATCATACAACACATTACCGAAAAAAACCCATCATACAACACAATACCGTACAAAACAATATCATACAACACGTACAAAACAATATCATACCACACAATACCTAAAAAAACAATACAATACAATACAATACCGTACAAAACAATATGATACATAACAATACCGTACAAAACAAAACAATACAACACAATACCGTAAAAAACAATAAAACACAACACAATACCATACAACACAATACCGTACAAGTTAAAATCATACAACACAATACCGTACAAAACAAAATAATACAACACAATACCGTACAAAACAAAATAATCCAACACAATACCGTACAAAACAAAATAATACAACACAATACCGTTCAAAACAAAATAATACAACACAATACCGTACAAGTTAATATCATACAACACAATACCGTACAAAACAATACAATACAACAAAATACCGTACGAAACAATATCATTCAATACAATACCGTACAAAACTATATAATACAACACAATACCATACAAAACAATATAATACAACACAATACTGTACAAAACAATACGTACAAAACATTATAATACAACACAATACTGTACAAAACAATACGTACAAAACATTATAATACAACACAATACTGTACAAAACAATATCATTCAACACAATACCGTACAAAAGAATGCAATACAGCACAATTTCGTACAAAACAATATCATACTACACAATACCGTACAAAACAATATCATACCACACAATACCTTAAAAAACAATACAATACAATACAATACCGTACAAAACAATATGATACATCACAATACCGTACAAAACAAAACAATACAACACAATACCGTAAAAAACAATACAACACAACACAATACCATACAACAAAATACCGTACAAGTTAATATCATACAACACAATACCGTACAAAACAATATGATACAAAACAATACCGTACAAAACAATGCAATACAGCACAATTTCGTACAAAACAATATCCGTACAAAACAATATCATACAACACAATACTGTACAAAACAATATCATACAATACAATACCGTACAAAACAATATAATACAACACAATACAGTACAAAACAATATCATATAACACAATACCGTACAAAACAATACAATACAACACAATACAGTACAAAACAAAATAATACAACACAATACCGTACAAAACAATATCATACAACACAATACCGTACAAAACAATATCATACAATGCATTACCGAAAAAAAGCCATCATACAACACAATACCGTACAAAACAATATCATACAACACAATACAGTACAAAACAATATCATATAACACAATACCGT